ATTACGTGGCTGTAACAATGTGTATTATTACACATTACGTGGCTGTAACAATGTGTATTATAACACATTACATGGCTGTTACAATGTGTATTATAACACGTTACATGGCTGTAACAATGTGTATTATAACACGTTACGTGGCTGTTACAATGTGTATTATAACACGTTACGTGGCTGTTACAATGTGTATTATAACACGTTACGTGGCTGTTACAATGTTTATTATAACACGTTACGTGGCTGTAACAATGTGTATTATAACACGTTACATGGCTGTAACAATGTGTATTATAACACGTTACATGGCTGTAACAATGTGTATTATAACACGTTACGTGGCTGTAACAATGTGTATTATAACACGTTACATGGCTGTAACAATGTGTATTATAACACGTTACATGGCTGTAACAATGTGTATTATAACACGTTACATGGCTGTAACAATGTGTATTATAACACGTTACATGGGTGTTACAATGTGTATTATAACACGTTACATGGCTGTAACAATGTGTATTATAACACGTTACATGGCTGTAACAATGTGTATTATAACACATTACGTAGCTCTTACAATGTGTATTATAACACGTTACATGGCTGTTACAATGTGTATTATAACACGTTATATGGCTGTAACAATGTGTATTATAACACGTTACATGGCTGTAACAATGTGTATTATAACACGTTACATGGCTGTAACAATGTGTATTATAACACGTTACATGGCTGTTACAATGTGTATTATAACACGTTACATGGCTATTACAATGTGTATTATTACACATTACATGGCTGTAACAATGTGTATTATAACACGTTACATGGTTGTTACAATGTGTATTATACACGTTACATGGCTGTAACAATGTGTATTATAACACTTTACATGGCTGTTACAATGTATATTATAATACGTTACATGGCTGTTACAATATGTATTATTACACATTACGTGGCTGTAACAATGTGTATTATAACACGTTACATGGCAGTTACAATGTGTATTATAACACGTTACATGGCTGTTACAATGTGCATGATAACACGTTACATGGCTGTAACAATGTGTATTATAAGACGTTACATGGCTGTTACAATGTGTATTATTACACATTACGTGGCTGTAACAATGTGTATTATAACACGTTACATGGCTGTAACAATGTGTATTATAACACGTTACATGGCTGTTACAATGTGTATTATAACACGTTACATGGCTGTTACAATGTGTATTATAACAGGTTACATGACTGTACAATGTGTATTATTACACGTTACATGGCTGTAACAATGTGTATTATAACACGTTACATGGCTGTAACAATGTGTATTATAACACATTACGTGGCTGTTACAATGTGTATTATAACACGTTACATGGCTGTTACAATGTGTATTATAACACGTTACATGGCTGTAACAATGTGTATTATAACACGTTACATGGCTGTAACAATGTGTATTATAACACATTGTGTGGCTGTTACAATGATCATTAAACATGTGACGTCCTTGTCAAAGCATAAAAAACACGTTGCGTGGCTGTTACATTATAACACGTTAAGCGGCTATTGTAACTTGTCATAACACGTTACATGGCTGTTGAAACGCGTTACAATACGTGGTTGTTATACCGTTTATTATAACACATTCCATGTTATAACACGTTATAATACAAGTCTTGCTACAAGATGCAAGTCAATATATGTTAACATAGCTATACTGTATATGTTATAACAGCTATCGTAACAGATGTGACGGTTACTGTAGCTGTTACATTATAATCATATCCGTTACCATAGCTAAAATGTGAAACATATAGTGTAATATAATAGCTATGTTGTAATTGATATTACAATAACAGTTGCTATGCGTGTTAAATCACAATGTTATAACATGCCGCAATATATGATACACGATCTGGTACGCTGTAGAGTCGCTGTTATGTTATAATAGATATTGTACACAGCACTATATATTTATTGTACCACAGCTGCCGAACAAATGCTCAGAACGCCAAACGGCCAGCAACACAACTGCTGGATGTTAAACTAAATGCTGCAGCGTTTGTGACAATCGGCGTTGTTATAATGTGGCTATTAGTCGACTGCAGGTGGGGTTGTCACAGACGTCAGCTGTCAACAAAGTGATTTCCTGCTTGGAGTATTCCCAAGCAACAGCCCTGGGCCGGAGGTGGACATTTGTCGGTGTGGCGGGAGGCCTGAGACCCTCTCCACATAGCACAACCGGCTGTTGACTTCCCCAAGTGGGTACTCGATGTATCCACCCCGGAGGAGGTGATGGTGACGATGGGGGCCCAGGAGTCGACCAATGTCACTTAACCCGGGACCTTAACTCGCGTCGCCTTCCCACTGCGAGCCGCTCGCAGAGCAGGAATAAACAACACAACGGCTCCGACAGTGCCCGTAGGTCACGTCGACACTTATCTGTAATCGCATTCGTAACAACGCAGTGGTTACAACAATAATATTAATATCGACGACGACGAGGAGCAGCATTACCTTGTACAGTGCGAGTGTGGAGTGGAAACACCGCGCCTCTCAATGGAACATGGCGAAGTGCGGCGCGGTCACGTGGGCGCCACGCGCCACTGGCGGAGGGCAGGGGGCGGGGGATCGGGGATTTGAGGCGGGGCTAAGGGCGGGGCCAGAGGCGGGGCTAAATTAAGGAATTCGGGGCGGGGCTATTTTCAGAACCAGAATATTCATTCCTGGAGGAATCAGATGAGCTATGAAGCTCTTTTCCACAGATGGCCAGTAGGGGAAGGTCAGAACGTTACAACAACAATACAAAACACACTCGGAGTGCAAATTACTTAAAATATTTTTTTAATACTACCAGGTCAAGCCCACTGAGCTGTTAGCTTCTTTTTCAGAAGCGACCTGTCCACAAATGACATCCCAACGAAGTGGCCCATCACGTGGAAATTAATAGAAGCAAAATAATCTAAATAATAGAAAATATTATATGCTTGCGTATGACAGCTATACGTTCAGAAGCTAAATGCCAATGGTCGAGGTCTGCTCGACAGATATTTTGCGTCAGATTGTTCACTAGGGAGCCAGGGGATTTAGATCGGTTTCAGCGTTCCAGTTACGATTCGCATTTTCGTTATTTAAATGTCCGTCTCAGCAATGTTGTGTACAAGCTGCCGGCCCAGGCTGGAGCGCAGTGGCTCTGCTACTGAGTCGATCAGTGAGAGGGAGGAAGTTCGCAGCACATCAGATGAGACGCCCCAGGATGTCCCTGCAAGTTCCTGGAGCAGGGCGATTCTTGATTAGTTAATTTTTACAGATCTGTTTTATACGGGGCTTGAAGGTCAGGCTTCCGTCCGTGATAACCACGAGATATCTTGGAGTGGTGCCACAGGTCACGAGGCTACCACAAAAGGACACGTGAAGTGTGACATCTGTCGCATGATTGTTCAGGTGGAAAGCATTTGAGGTGGTTTTGGAAGGATTTGGTCGGAGTCTCCCGAGATGAAAATACGCCCCTAATAAAGTTCGATCAGCTGTTCGAGTATTGGAAATGTGTCTCGAGGTTTGTGCCCTGTGCAGCAAGGGCGATGCCATCAGCATATACGGACTTACGAGATGATGTACACGGCAGCTCACATTAGTGTTAGATTGCGATGGTGCTGATAACCGAGCCTTGAGTGTGGCCATTGTTCACACATCTCTTGTAGCTGTGATGACTATCCAGGTTGCACCCTGGAAGTAACATTGCTGATGAGGCGAATTCTACTCAGTAAGTGGGCCATGACGTCAAATGGTGCCACACGCAAATTTTGTTTGTTGCGGTTGCACCCGACTTAAGAGCCGCATGGCTCACAGGGCTTTACCTAATAAATGAAACTTGAAACGCAGCAGCAGCAGAGACGTCAATCATTGCTGTGCCGGTTTTCTGTTGATGCTGGAAAACAGATTCAACGAGGATGGTGAAAGCTGTGATCTATTCCCAACAGCAGCAGCAGCTACGGCCAGTTCGAAATCCGGATCGTTCAGGGGGCAGTTGGGATCGATAATGGGGTAAAGATTACTTTGGATTTCGGGATTATGCCCGTCCCGTGTATGACGGTGAAGGAGTTTGTGCAAGCCATCGTTGTCCATGCAGTGCCAGAGCCACCGTGATAAGCGGGGCGATACCCTCCCCTAAAGCCGGACATCTTTAATAAAAAAGAGCTTTATAGCTCATCGGATTCCTCCAGTGTCAATACAGATTCTGACTCGGGGTGGTTAGGGGGCGGTGCTTGGGGCCCCGACAGCCAAAGAGGTGGGGGGAGGGGAGGGGCCATTTCCTTCTGGACGCGATGACGTCACGACATCTGTCGCCATCTCCCGCACGGCGAATTACGCCATGACAACGGTCACTGTCTCCCTCACGGAGAATGACGTCATGACAACTATCACCGTCTCCCTCACGGCGAATGACGCCATGACGTCATGACAACTGTCACCGTCTCCCTCACGGCGAATGACGCCATGACAACTGTCACTGGCTCCCGCACGGAGAATGACGCCATGACGTCATGACAACTTTCACCGTCTCCCTCACGGCGAATGACGCTATGACGTCATGACAACTGTCACCGTCTCCCTCACGGCGAATGACGTCATGACAACTGTCACCGTCTCCCTCACGGCGAATGACGCCATGACGTCATGACAACTGTCGCCGTCCCCCGCACGGCGAATGACGCCATCGCGTTGGCCGGTGACGTCACGCGCTAAGCTGCCCCGAGCAAGCAGCAGCAACTGGCTCGGCGCGCGCGGGGATTCATTGGTGCGGGATGGAGCGGGCGGGTCGCGCCCCGCGACGCCTCCCCGCTGCGGGCCCCGCTACCGCGCTCCTGCCTCAGCAGCAGCAGCAGCACCAGCAGCACCAGCAGCCACAGCAGCCACAGCAGCTACCATCGCGTGGCGGGCCCACGGCCCCGAGGCGACGCGACGAGGGGGGGCCCGGTGAGAGACGTGGAGACGGCGAGCGCGGGCTGAGTGGCGCGAGCGAGGGAATCGACTCCTCGATTCACCGGTTATGCCGGCGTGATCGATTCTTGCTGCCGCGTCGCAGTACGGGTTGTTAAAGTAATGTTTTGCATTAACGGTCACTGAAAGGGGAAAACCCATTACCGATTTGTCGCACACATAGAAATCTATCTCAACAAACGTGGCATTTAGTTTTTGAAGTGAATAATGAATGGAGCTGCCGTGGTCGTAATCATCGAATTGGAATCGATTGGTATTCGAATCGGTCTACCGTCGTTGCAGTTAAATAAAACAATGGCAAAAGGTGGCTTAAGTATGAAGAATGTAAATTGTGAGGCGCACAATGTTTCACGGACAAAACGTGACCGTGACTGAGGCGGCGCGGTAGCCACGGTCAAGTGCCCGCTCGAGAGCCAAGTTCAAGTTGAGCGAAACGGGCTGACAAGTCTGTCGTCGCCGCCTTTGAGGGATGATGAGTCTCCGTGTTGAGTGTTCTCGTCCGCGCCACCGACGACAGAGCGGCGTCACTTGCAGAGAAGCAGAGACGCCGCTGCGGTGAGAGGGGGGTAACGTGGGCCGTGAGCTGGGCGTTGCAGGCGCTCGCGGGCAGCGGAGAAACCCCCCTGTCCACCCAGCTGTTTACATGGCTACGCCACAGGTCACTGTCGGATTAGCGATTATATTTAATTTGTGACCCACACGACGCTTGGCGATAAAATGCGCCAACCATTCTTCCGCTGCGGTGGTGGGTGCCCATCTAGGACCCCATTCAAACCCACCGTGGTCTCGTATCAGCTATCCCATGAAAGTTGCATCGCTTGCACCTGGGGTCGGCATTATCCACCCTCCCCCTCCTGATGTCGAGGGGAAATGGGTGAGGTTTAGGACTGTGGCTCACGCAGCTGCACAGATTAGCACGGTTGGCTATGTACGATGCGAAAGAAGTTCAACAGACATGCTGACCCAATGACACTTATGACTGTTGTTATAAACTTGTTTACCCAGGCAAGCCATGCGCCTAATTTTTCAGGAGGGTCCTGCCAAGAGTTCTCGAGAGGGGACGATGTTGCAACGTGTCATCCCAATTGAGTAATTTGTCGGTACGGGAAACCATCGATATACGAAATACTTTCCCGAAAACGTGTCCCTAGAGCTCATTGGCTTCCATTCTATAATTGGAGATGCATTCCTACGGAAAAAAACGCACCCAAGTCATAATAAAATCACGCTTTAGGATGCAGTAAACCTTTTTAAAGCACATATTTAATAGAAAATCGATAATTTTATGATCAAATATTAATCAATAAGTCGCGAAAATGTGGACGGTTCTTATGGCCTATTTTTGTAGTTCTGCTAACACTTGCACTTTCCAGACATCTTGACTTTTACTGAAGTAAGAACGTTGAAAAATGGTGAATTCCTGCACAGTGGTCAACACAAGGGATTGAATCAAAACCACCCAAGCTTGGGTGGCATGAAGAGTGCGAGAAACCAACACAGTCTCAAATGCATTGCGTGCAAACCACCCGGATCAGTGCTTGGACAGACGTTAGACTGTTTTTTTAATAATTAAAAGATTCAAAAGTCAGTAAATGCATATTTAATATGGCGTATATAAAATTCGTTCCCTAATTTCTTGGTTACGTTTTAGCTGAATTCCAAATATTGAGTTGGCATTTAATGAGGGATGGCTGCATTGGGAAGTTTGGCCAATACCAGTTACATTTTATTTTTAGCTATCGGAAGAAAATGGATGAAATCCATGCAGGACTGGGGGAGAACATACAAACTCTGCACAGTCGGAAATGGAACTCAGGCCCTTCTTGCTGTGAGACACGGGTGCCTCTATTGCACCACCCTGCCGCCACTTGCTGACCACTGTTCTCTGCGCATTGTTGTGGCAGGGCTGGAAGTGGAGGGAAACTTGCGCGCTGCCCAGCGGTCATCGAGCTCCCTGGCGCCAGCCTGGGCACGGCGCGTGTCCGAGGTGGAGGCCAGGACCCCTGGCCTTGGAGCTTCCCACTCGCAGCCCCAGGCGGCGTTGATGCTGGCGCAGGGCGCGAGACAGAAGGAAAAGAGAGGCGGCGCAACGAGCGGAGCGACGGCAGCAGCACTGCCACGGGTGAGTGCAGGCACACGCAATGCCAAGCGCGCACGCAAAAAATGTATCGGCTGATTCATGATTTATTTTGCGGTCAGAGCTCGTGAGTAATATGCCAATGTGTGTGGTACAATCCTCCTCCAGCGAGCAAGTCGGATAAATGTCACGTGACAAATGTGACAATTTATTACTGATTCGGCACAGCAGTGTGTTGGAGAGCAATAATCCACAACATTCAACGATTTGATACGACGTTTTACTGGTAGTTGCAACCAGCATAATCAGGCGATTTACAGAATTGTAAAAATCATTAGCATATTACTCAAGCGATGTGACTCAAAAATCCGTTATCAGTAAAGAATTGGTCGCGAAAGCCTGCATGTTAAATGTATCTTCTGCGAATGTCAATATTGCATTCAGTGTACTTGTGTATTCTCCGCATAATTAGATGCTCCAGGATGTCAGACGTGCCATAAAGTTTAAAAAATTTGGTCACACATACATATATTGGATGAGAAAACACCCAACATTTATTTTAAATTACCGGGGGAAAAGTGCATCTTGTAATCTGGTGAATAGCTCGGTATCATACCATGTGTACGCTGCTGTGAGTTGTAGGCCTTCTCCATGAACATGTGTGTTTCTGCATCCGAAGTCATCATAATCAGAGGATATATTACATGTAATTGCATCTTCACCTAATCCTTGATTTTTTTCGATAATTATATTTCCTGCTTTGTACTCGGGTTGTAAAATGACAACCCGTAAACCGATAACCGTTTTTACAATCAATTCCTGGTTCTGAAAGTCAGGAAGTGGTGAGCATCTGCAGTGGAATGTTCGTAATGAATGCACTGATTGGTCCGTGAGAATGTACAAACCACGTGCCACATCGGTCCTGATTTCTCAGTGAAGAGATAAAGGTGCAGCGCTGCAGTTGCCTTCTTACTGATACCACTGTTTGCGGAAGGGGCTCCACTAGAGTGAGCACTAGAGGGTACAGTCTACTCTTCGATGTTGGATTACAAGTCCAATATGCTAATCATCACACCATGCCAGTTCCCTTCATCTCTCAGTCGATAAGGTAAAAATGCTACGTTTGTTCTATACATTTCTATATGTGCGCAATTCGGTAATCGTTATTTTTCACTTGGTTGCAGGTAATGCAAAAAAAAAAGAATAAATTTTAACATCACTAACATGAAATGCGTGTTGTTTGCTCATTCAGTCGTGCGCACGGGCTGTATTGTCTCTACTGCAGAGTGCAAGACACGGAGCGAAGCTCGAGTCAGGGACAGTTGGGGCGGAGCGGAGACCCGCAGAGAGGGCGGGCGCCAGCAGTGGAGCAGTGGGCACCAGCAGTGGAGCAGTGGGCACCAGCAGTGGCGCGGCCTGCTTGAAAGATTTGTGTCCCGAAGATAAGCGTCGCGTCGCCAATCTCGTTCGAGAGCTAGCCAGGTCAGTAAACAGCAACGGCAACTTACATTTAGATTGCATCCGTAATATAACTAATGTCTTTGTGGGTGTGAACGTTGTGTGTGTGTGTGTTTATGTCTCTGTATGGGAATAGTTGGTGTGAATTTTGTGCGTGTACATCTGTGTGAGCGTTATGTGTGTGTGTGTGTGTGCACGTGTGGCTGCAGGTTGAGTGAGGAGAAGGAGCTATGTGAGGGCCGTCTCTCAGCGGAGACACTTTCGTATCAGCAGAAGCTCCAGCAGGTGGAGGAGAGGCAGGAACTCATTCTGAAGGAGAGGGAGGATATCCTTTCCGCAATACCGCTCAGTTGACAACTTCCAAACTGTGCTGTCCACACCCATGAGAGGGCTAGACTAGCGCATGGATCTGGTCAAACTAACGTCTTACAAGCTGCAGTTAACACGATCTTGGCCTATTTCCCAATGGTGAAAAAATATTATTTAGGTCTTTTTGGCAGGCATATTAAATTACCCATAATATAGCTTCATTTAGATAAGATAGATCCTTCGAGGATAACCACTGAAGTCCTACGTTGTCCCGTTTGGGCATGCCACAGTGTCATATTATCTGTTCCCTATTGGCATCTATAAAGAAACATTCCCATTGGGCAGTGACATGGCCGAGCGGTAGCGAATTTGCTGCTTGTTGCAGGAGTTGGCGGTTTGAGCCCCCCAACCGCCCTAGTTAATACCGTGGGCGTATTAACAACATTTACACTCCAAATCTACCTTTATAGTGGACGTTAAAGATCTCGTGACATGATTTGAAAAAGAGTAGGCCATGTCTGCCTTCGTCACAGTTCAAATGAGAAAAATGACATGCAAATTTGTTCATTGGGAAAAAAAACACATGGTGATATTGCATCTTGCAGGCGAACTGTACCCATTTACAGGCAGTTGCCTGCATACACTTTGTGCAATGTTGGAACATAGCCACCAGAGATCTCCTAGGCTAGACCGCCATAGGGAAATGGATTGGTTGAGGTGAAATGTGATGTGAAGCGAATTTGAGATATCGAAGCATTTACTCGCACCATAATGAAAATCCTTCGGCTGTACTTTAAAGCCAGATGCGCATTGCCATATAACCCTATTGTGAAAATGTATGAATATATGAATGTCGTATTGACGTGATGCTAAGACTTCAGTGAGATGACACCACAGTCATTTGGGCGAAGGTTGTTCAGTTTTGTGGTGTGTCTTCTCCTTGACAGCCATCCCACCCTTGCGATTGCAGTACTCGGAGTGCCAGCAGCTGCTGCTTGCGTACCAGGAAGAGCTTTCTACGCGCACACACTTGATCGGCATGCAGGCCCGTGCAGAAAATCACGCGGTCAGTATTCACACGCGGCAAATGGCATCGTCATTTGCCGAGCTGAAGTGGCTTACGCCTGTTATTCGGAGTTGTGGAGGCAGTGAGGATCGGGAATAACCAGGGCGGCCTGCAAGATTCAAACCTCGAACCTCTGAACAAGTGACAAACACGTTACTACTGGGCCATGTCACTGCCACGTGAGATGAGGTTGCTATGGAGCAAGAGTTTTGTTCTTGAGAATTAGATCTAAATGTAATTTTAAATAAGCAAATGGAAAAAAAACCGAAATAGAATTCATAAGTACAACCATACATGCAACAACACATTTGTTTACATAGTTACATTTTGCATATTATGGATAACGATAAATGTAAAAAATAGAGTTTTAACTTTAATCCAGGTTCCTGATCAACTTGATTTTAAAACAGCTGTTGAAATTAACTCCATCCTTTTGCCGATCACATCCGACAGTTCACTGGCATTGGTTTCAGCAAGCCTGACACGATTTCGAAACCAGTCTCAGCGTTTGTTCTGTTCTCTTCCAGACAACTCCAGTGGCCCAGCTCTTTCTTGGTGCTGCTGATTTTGGCAGCCCTTCCTCGGTCAGGCCACGTATTGCACTTCTCCCGGCTCGAGACACAGACAGGCAAACTGAGACGTCGATGGGAAGTCAGGCAGCAATGGCACGTGGCTTTTACTCCCCGAGGGAATATGGAGTTCCCGATGGGAACCGCACAGGTACTCCAGCTGTAATTCATCCGGTAGTTCCTGCTGGAATGCGGTCTGGGAATGCACAGGGAATGGCATCACAGTTGTGTCCCCCTCATCATGTGTCTTTATCAGTGGGACAGGGGCAGGCAAACAGTTCTCACCATGAGGCACCATCAGCACAGGGTGGTGAGATAGAGAGCAGGATGCTTTATACACACCCACCAAATGGGTTCACACTACCGCTTTCTTTATCTCCCTCGCAGAGTTCCCACCACCACATAGCACGACCCAACTTCCAACAGCTGTCGGCGCACACCGTCCATAATGCACCCGAACGTAATTCAGCAGCACATAGCCCCCTGCAGAGACCGACACACAGCCATGCACAAAACGGAGGGATTGGGCAAGATGGCAATCCGAGGTTTGACCTCGAGGCAGGTACTGTCAAAACAATGACACAAAAGGGGAGCTTCCAACCATCGGCATCGGTGAGTGTTGTTTCTTCCCCAGTTCCAAGACAAGGTACTACAAAAGGGGAACTGGTACAAGAAGTAGGAAATAAAGGAACCCTAGTAAGAAGTGACGCCTTGATGTTAAACAGCGACAGCAGGAATCATGCTAGAGATGAAGGGATGATGAGGCAGAGTAAAGGTAGGAGTAGCGACGCAGACTCAGGGTGGCTGTGTGAGGACGTTGGAGTTAACGGACAGAATGAGAAGCAGGGGGAGTGTGTTCCTGCTGAGCACTCTGTCATGCCAACAGCAACCGTCCGGAGAAATGTTCATGAGCAAGGAGAGATGGCGAGGGTCCCCGAGGACATGCATGAGAGCAGATCGCGTCGAGAATACGAGAGATTAGCGGACGTCAGCCAGGGAAGGGGCGGAATTGAGAGGAATGGCAGGATGAAGGTGCTGCAGGAATGTGAGAGAAATGCCGGGAGAGAAAATGTAAGCGAACTAGAAGAGGCAAGACCTGCAGTGCAAAGACAACGGCTGGAGTTGGTTGAGAGGAGGCAAGTTGAGGTGGGAGGTGAAGGTGGTACAAGTGACGGGGTGCGGAATCGTGCGAGGGAGGTGCAAGAGGGGTGCGATGGTCGTGGAGCCGCTGGGTCCACACGCGCAATTAAGGCGGACGTGGAGAAGCAGCGGCGGGAGCTTGAGTGGGAGAGGGAGCGGCTGAGCCAGCTGCTGGCGCAGCAGGAGGCGCGATTGGCAGCTGCACGAAAGCGACATGGAGCACCCCCTCACTCGCGGTGAGTGCTCGCGCGTACCATGTTGTCTCCTCCTTCCGTACGGCTGATGTAGAGCAAGAACTACAATTTTACATTCAGGTGGTCAAGCCAGATAACCGCGTCAGGAGCAGCGGAGTGTATTGCTGTGGTGTCTCCTTCGTATTTGTCAATCGGGCATTGCGCCGTTATATGTTGTATGGTCTGTTCTGGATGACCACAGTTGCACACTACTGGAGAGTTTTTAATTTTACATTTGTGCATCAGGTATCTGCATCCGCCATGGTTTGTGCAGATGCGGGTTAGGGTGAACCCTGAGCTTCGTGGAAGATGAAACTCGGGGGTCTTCTGTGTTGGGTCTTTCACAACATTGTGTTTGTGCGTTCTTTTGAACTCCATTCAGCTCTCCAAGCTTCATCGGGGTTGAACTCACATTATTGGAGGTTAAGCACCATGTGGTGACGTGGCGGGATTTACTTTGTCCATTTGTTTTGTTGCCAGTGTTATCCGTTTACAAAACATGACATTTTACACTTCATTACGATAACTACGTTTTCATTTTGAAGCCTCTGCAGACTATGTGAAACGTATCACCTTTCTTCATGGTAGCCTTGCTCTATATGAATAGTACACATACCAAATGTTCTATATTATTATTATTGTCTTCATAATTTATAAGCAGACTAGAAGGCTATTAGCACCTACCCCATGGCCACCCTCCCATGAATGCTCAATTGTTGCCCTGCCTCCATGTCCCAATCACCATCGTCTGTGCTGCTTCATATTTACGAACAGTCAAGAGACGGCTGGAAGTTCCCACGTTCCCAGTTTCCTGCCAGCGCTAACGAGGTCTCCTTCACCCCAAAGGTAAACTTATGAGCCTTTTCACTGTCTGTTTTTTTTACGATTCGCATAACATACCAAGTGGCCAACTGTCCGATATACTGACAGGCATCATTATTGAAAAAGTATTCACATTTTTAATTACGTAAAAAAATCCCCCATCAATAGTAATTTTAGTAACATTTGGTATTGGCAGCTCGTTCAAGTTATAGGGTATCTTAAATACTAAAGAGTGGTAGTACGTAATTATTGTTGCACAATATTTTGTCGTCTACTTTGTGACTGATTTGTTTTTCCATTGCTGCGTGACAGGTACGACGGGTCGGTGTACTCGCTGGGTGAGTCGCTGACTACCTCTCCGAGTCATGTCATCAGTGAGTGTTTTTTCAAGCCAGCGAGACGACGCAGACCTGGGCCGGAGCCCTTCCATCCAAGTGCAGTGCCAGGGATCTCAGGGGACAACTATGAGGAAACGCGGCTGCTGGAGGATGTCTTCTTTATTTGCTGACTCTGTTTGGTGTGCGATTGGCTACGCTGGTTCATGACCAATGGGTGTGAGTCTGGGATGTCTACATCCTGTCATTTTGCTCTGAAAGCCCAAGTATTTTGCTGCTCAAATTAGCAATGAAGCGTTGCTCATCACCTGTTAACAACCCTGAGCCAGTGGTGGAAATGTCACATTCACCTGGTGGGGCCGAGTTTCTCGATTGGACAACCACTGTTGACTTCCCCACAAAGTGGATACTTTTGATTTAAAGCTTTCGTGACTGCAGTAATTCATATTCTTAGCTCTTTCGGTAAAGGCACGTTGAAGGGAAACAAAATATATAAAAAAATAAATTGTTTTATATATATATTATTCTTTTGTTGTTTCCCTTCAACGTGACTTTACCGAAAGAGCTAAGAATATAAAGTGGATACTCTTTTAAAGACCCAGGAAGGATGTTGAGTTGAGTCGACCTCTGACCTAGAATTGACCTCGGGGTCTTCCGATTGCGAGCCACTCGCTCTCCATCTGAATTACCTGGCTGATAGTGAGAATAAAAGCCTTTGCTGTTCTATTCAGATTTCTATATTGTAAAAAAACTATTGCTTAATATTTTGCATACTCTGGCATTTCCATCACAATTGGATGATGTTAACATCAATAATAAGTTTGTGCTCGTTGCATTTACAGTTTTATTATCCTCAAGATTTTCATGCAATATTTTCATGATTTTGTAACATAACTCTGTCGTATTTTTGTAATTGTGTTCAATTGACCTATGAAGAATAACATTTTGTATATTATGGATGTATAATTCTAATTGTTTGAAATGTATTTTTAAGAGTAAAATAATGCTAACTTAAGCAACTTTTGTTTTTTAAACGTTTTTTTTAAGTTAATCTTACTTGAGAGTGGTAACGAAAGACAAATATATTGCACAATCATAACCGTTACTCCGGGGCAAGGGATGGCAACCAAACTAACGAGAAGAGACATTGTTTTCCAATTCGGTTAAAATACTCCATATTTCAAGAGTTGTGAAAACGAGAAGCAGTCCTTGAGCTGCATGCGGCTCCGGAGCCCAATGCTACCGACCCCTGCCCCAGGGACTCGCACAGTATTTATTATTGTGAAGTTGGCGCTTCAAGTTGTCACCCTTGAACATGACCAATTTGTTCTGGTCACCATTCTAAGTGTGTTGATGGGCCTGGAGAGAAGTCTGCCAACCGCTTGCTCCACCCACGATATCAACAGCCACGGTTGTGATATCACTGCACAGTTGATTGACAATACATTTCTTATTATTGAGCCGTAAAAAAATATTTCATTGTGTCCTGTCAAGGACGAGATATTAACTTTGGAGTCAACTTTTTAAAAATGCAAAATGGTGGAGCTAATAGCAAAAAATATGCCCACTCGATTCACTGTGTTAGGGTTTGAGCATGGGGCAACTTGGACCATCGAAATGACTGGAGACACGGCGGTGGTCACCCCGCTCGAGAATGGGATGCAACTGGTGATATTGTGTCGATGGGTCATTGAAGACGCGAAGATAGAAACAAGCGAGTTGCGTTCACGACCAACATTGCTCGCGGTCCCTTGGATGATCTTTGCCACGCGAGTGCACAAATCAAAATGTCCACAAGGTGGCGCTTTGTAGTCACGGAGCGATCCAGTGTTGCCACCGTTCTTCTGCAGTCGGGGATGCGTTTCAGGTTCAAACATTTAGGATTGTTTTTTTATCGTCTTAAGATGTATATATTTTCATACTGTAATGTGCCTTCGTGATTTCCAAAGTGACGTCACCTGATGACACCACTTTTGGATAGAAGAGAATGAAAGTGAATTACCCTTGGGCCTAATGTCTGCGTTGCTATGAATCTGAGAGCTGGGGCAGATTCCGATCCTTGAGTGGGATCTTAAACGTCCACTTTTACTGTCTGCAGGATTCCAACTGCGATCTATTGGGTCAGCAGGGGACATTTATCAATCTCCCATTGAGCAAAGGTTGACTGCGCATACAGATGAGAAAACTACTTTAGAGACCTAGACGCACAAAACTGCAGTATTCTGTAATAAAGTTCAACACAACCATCAGATATCGGTACAAATCAGTTCCTTGGTCAGCACAGATGTCAATTCCCAGACGGTTTGGGTTCTTAAAATCTAAAATTGTTTTTTAAAATATTGTGGGTGTTATAATACGTAACGCAATAATGTTTGTCGTGGGGAATCGAAAAAGACAAGCAAGCAAAGTCATATATCTGTCTCGACATAAAATATATTTTACACAACCCATTGGCCCCACAGCCTTCTGGGAGTGCATCATTTCCGCAGTATTTGAAGGATACGTTTTGTATGCTTACCAATGAGGTGGGCAGTATATTCGAGTTGTCACCTGTCCCGTTTGATCTGGACAGGTACCCATAGGGCAGTGCATTAATCAGGGCGGCCTTCCGGTTTCGAACTGCGAACCTCCAATAAGCAGAGAACGCACTACCGCTGGGCCCCCCAAATGTGCCAGCATCACCAGTGCTGTCCAACCACCACTGCAGGTCACCCAAACGACTCGCCCAGTCGCCACATTTCAGGTCACAACAGCACTCACCCACCCCACTCATTCACCACGTTGAAGGTCGCAGCACTTCTCATTCTGCGTCTTCGCACGCATCGCTCCACTTGGTAATTAACTCCCTCTTATCTTCGTCTTATTTTTTTTCAAAGCTCAATAAATACTGTAATCTTGCTCAATTCAACAAAAAAACGTTGACCCGTCAACTATTATGATGATAAAAGTGCTGTGTGTGCTGGCCCGTTTGACGTGCCCTTTTGGGTACAGTGTGTGCTCAGCAGTTGTGTAAACAAACCAAAGATTGAGTGAAATTCCACTCGAGGTGGAGGAGTAGTGACCGCGTGCGTGGTTTTGAGATTTTTTTTAACCCACGGTGGCGAGATATGAACTCTCGCCACCGTGATATTTGTAGGTTACACGTATCTCCCCGTGGTCGCGTGGACTCTTCTCCGGGTCCGATGGTGTTTCCCTCCACATTTAGCATTAAGACATGCGTGGAAAGTATTGAGATGCAAATATATTTTTCCACATGGTAATCCACTTCGCTGAGCTATCTATCATTCGTGGCCAGGTCGCTTATTAAAAAGAACTACATAGCTCAGCGGGCTTTATCTGGTAAAATAAAAATAGTATTTTTTCTTCTTAAAATTTGTTTCGGGTTAGATCGCGTAAATGTGTCGTTCAACCCGTTAGTCACGTAAACAAAACGTGCCATTTAGGACTTTCATCAACACCGGTGTTTTGGAGAGTAACCCCACATTTACAATTCGTTGGTGATCACAACCAGCTTCATCGGACGACAGCCAGAATTGTGATTTAACCCCATTTATTGTGGATGATAATTGGCCGTGAAAGCCCGGCTTTCTACGCGTTACACCGCCAACTCGTTTTTTGGTGAATTTGTTTTTGAGCGAGGCCCTCCCACGCCCATGCCATGACGCCCACGCGGCGCGTCCCCTGTTGCCAGGGAGACGAAGGCCCGGCCCGCAGCGAAGAAGCCCGCTCCACCACCACCACCGTCATCGCTGTTGTCGGAATGTTTTATTTATATTAAGAGTTTATCTGTGAAGTCATTGCCATTCTCCCGGGGAATTCGCGCGACTTTCTCTTCGGGGAAGGAGGAGGGAGGAGGAGGGAGGAGACCTCGGGCCAGAGCCGCGTCGCCGCCGCCACGGAGGAGGCTTCGCGTCCTCGGGCAGGTGAAGCGACATTGGGGAAGTTTAATGGCGCCCACAGCTGCGTGTGCGCGTGTGCTGCGGCTAGGTCGACTCAGCCTTAAGTGAATAGCCGCTGCGCTGTGTAGTAAAAAAAACCCCATCAGCACTTGGTGGAGACAAAGGCGGCCGGGCCTTCGTGAGGCGCGACCTCGCGGACAGCGCTCGCCCCAACAGTTTGCTCAAGGCGCCACACAACGGGGGAGGGAGTCTTCGTGCTTGTTGCTGTCGGTGCGATGGTCTCGAGGGGTTAACGCTCTTCGAGGTAATGAGTTCATTCAGCACAGGGCACCGAGCGAGGAGGAGGAGGAGTGATGTCGAGAAGACTCTAAACCCGCGCGCAGCCGCCGCCGTCTAAAAGCTCCGTCAGCAATGAGTGGAGGAACTTTTAGTGACTTTGTGGCTCACCGCCGTGACGCTTTGCAACACTTTCTAAGCCGAGGGGGGCGTTTTTGTTGTCTCTCGAGTCGGGGAAGAACGTTCCAAGTCGCCGTAAGGGTCGCCGCGATGTGGCGACATGTATACTGCGATGTATCGTACGATATCGGATACATGATACTCGCATCGGTCCGTTTGTCATAACATCGTGATCACCGTGTCTCGTTCACCTTTTCTGCCCATTCTACATTACATTTCCCTGACAGAATAGCGCGTTTGTGAAAATCACGATAATTGCAGTTCGCAATCATAGTTGACGTTCGAACGTTTCTGCATAAGCCATGAGGGTTCGTGCTGTTTTGTTATACCCCGGATTATAAGACGCGCTTTGTTCCCTGAGTGCCTTCTCGACGTGGGGCCACATTGGTTTCACCATACTGACGAGCGGGAGGAGCGCGGCTTTGGGGTGCGTCTTACTTTCCGGTGGCGAGGAGAAGCCGTGGGTTCGATCCCAGACCCTGACGACGATGATGATGCCAGCTGTGATATTTGGAATCAGCTTGATCGCTGCCCAAGGGGGTGGCGTGGATTTTTTTTTCTCTCTCGGGGTTCTTATGTATAATCGACATGCTTTTAGATTGTTTGACTCTAACATCCCACGTGCGACGATAGCAACGACTTGGATGAGCCGTCACGTGTGGCCAGGTCCCCTCTGCATAAGAGCCGATAGCTCAGTAGCATTCTCCTTGTAAATATAAATGCAGTCGTTTTGCCTTTTAGAAAAACGAAGACAACTGCTCTGCAAGTTGGTAACAGACCCGGACAACTCCTCCTGTCTGGCTTTCTCAAATGTCGAGATGAGACTGAAGAATATGGATCTAACTTTATTTCATTCTTAACACAGAACATGTATGGGCCGTACTCGGAGACGGTCATGGCCCCTTCAGCACAGAGAAAAAAATATTAACTTATAGTTGTGTTGTTAAAACGGATTTGATTCATAAAAATTAAAAACTATCTTTTTATTTTTCCAGGTAAGGCCCACTGAGCTATATAGCTATTTTTCAGATATTTTTCAGAAACGACCTGGCCATAGCTCAACGAAGTGGCTTGTTATGTGGAAATGTATTGAAGCCAAATACTCAACGCATGTTGATTCAAAATGTGGAGGGAAAAAACTGGAGGACCTGGAGTAAAATCCACGCAACCGCGTGATGTACACACAAACTCCAAAATGCAGGTGTCAGAGTTGGGATCCCACGACCTCCTGCATACCAGGGCGAGGGAGTTAACATCTCGCCTAGGCCAATGGCACGTGGTTGGAACCGTTGCACCAACGTTGGCGCAACGTTCCACGTTTACTGGGAAGCCATTTCACTTTGCCCTTCCTCAACATCCACGTTCCCACTCGATGCAAAGCTATGCTCCACATCATCTCATTACCCCTGTTCACTTGAAAAAAGAGACCAGTAGCACACACTTCACATAGCCCACACGTCTCGTAGCACACACTTCAAATGCCAAGGTTGGAGGAGAAATGATCAGGGCTTTGCTTACATCTGCTCATGAAAGTTCAAATTTAATATTTGTTTTTTTCCTGTGGCGTTTTGAGCATCCTGTAAAAAAAATAAACTGAACACATTTATCAGCAGCATCAAATGATTATCCTCTAATAGTGCATGGTTATCTTTGGGCACTGCAAAAACACAAGTGTTGGAAAATGATTTTACGCTTCATGGCATTTGGAACTCTGCTGAGAGAAACACTTGAAGGCTCATTGAGCTGAGGTTCTTGTGGCTAAATATATAAGATTGTAAGTCCAGTACAGTTGTATTAAACTTGGTCATTGTAAAATTTTGATTTAAAGCTTTCGTGACTGCAGGGATTCATATTATTGGTTCTTTCGGTAAAGTAACTTCGAAGGGAAACAATAAAATAATAAAAAAATATTGCTGTGGTTTTCACACCTGATGATGATTGCTTGTGTTGCAGTCGAAACGTCGTGAGAATTTAATGTTTTATATTTTTATTATTTTATTGTTTCCCTTTTACGTGACTTTACCGAAAGAACCAAGAATTCCGCTTTGTTTTCAGGGTACATTGTTATAGCGATGGCAAAAAATAAAATTTTAATAATAACCCATCCGGTTAGTGCCCTTCCTGATGTGTCCACTTTGTGTAACTGGATAAACATTTTAATTGAAGTCAAAGACCTTAAATGTATATTACAATTATTATTATTGGTACGCTTGTTTACCCAGAAAAGCCTAATTGAATCTCACAATTCCTTTTTCAGGAGGGTCCTGCTTTCTGAAAGCATTCTGAAAGCAGGACCCTTGAGGAAGCCGTGGGCTCGATCCCAGACCCTGACGACGATGCCTGTTGTGATTTTAGGAGTCCGCATGATCGCTGCCCAAGGGGGTAGTGTGGATTTTTCTCGGGTTTCACATTTATAATCGACATGCTTTTAGATTGTTTGGCTGCGACTATAAAATCACAACCACTTGGATGAGCCGGCACGTGTGGCCAGGTCGCTTCTGCAAAAGAGCCAAAAGCTCAGTAGCCTTGACCTGGTAAATAAAATGCAATTCTAAGGGGGAATGACAAGATCTGTATTTCCCGTTACAGTAATTTGCAGTCAATATCTTATATTTTGCTAATTCGGGCCTGACGCTGGCACACAATGGTCTACTCTTCCTCCAATTAAATTGCGGGACCTTTAACTTCTACTCTGAAGTGTACAGCGCATATTTATGGTGAATACACCTGCAGAATTAACCAGGGTGGCTTGCCTGATTCAAACTGCAACCTCTACCACAAGTGATGGACACGCTATGTCTGGGCCATGTCAACGCATTTCAAGTATTTAAAACTGCTATGCCACACTTTCTAAGTATTAGGGCATCTATGTACATACAGAATGATGATGTTTAAAGGAACGGTCACTTGACCTGCCTATTATTTATACCTCTGTCATGCTCACATGGGTTCCATAAGAGAAGCCAATCAAGAGTTTGCTTGTCTTAAAACATTGCTGATATTATTCACTCCCAGAAGGCACTGGCTGAAGTGTTGTGTAAGCAATATTTTGTATTTCTATGTGGAGACGTATTGTCAGCTAATTTTGTTATTTTAATATTTCTGGCATCGTCTTTCAGAGCCATGAGCCGACAAGCGCAGGGAGTGCAAGAAACTGCCTTCTGGAGCAACAACGGTGCGTTTGAGGCCGACCCGCGGGAACCGCACGGCTCCGAGGCAGCTGGCGGGGGGCTCAGCCAGCCTGGCTCCGGCAGCTCGAGTTACGGGAGCGCGGAGAGCGACAGCACGAGCCAGAGTGATGGGAGCAGTGAGACGGTGGGCCTCTGGAGGGGGAAGGTCTGCTGGGGCAAGGTCGTGGGGCTCGTCCGACGTAAGTGCCCGAGTGCGACTCCCATGGCCCCCCACGGACTGAGAAGTATGGGTGTTATTATTGTCACTCTTGCTTACCCAGGATAGTCCCACCGAGCCTCAACACTCTCTTTTTCAGAAGGGTCCTGCAAAATCTTTACAGTGGGGTGGGGGGGGGGGGGTGATATTGTCGTGAGTAATTTTGCAGGTGATTATTTTGGCATTTGAATGTTTTGGCCAATACTAGTTACATTATGGGGTTTTTTTTTGCTATCGGAGGGAATTTGGGAACCCAGAGGAAACCCATGCAGAACAGGGGGAGAACACACAAACTACATACATAGAGGCGTCTGAGTCTAGAATGGAACCCAGCCCCCCCCTTCTACTGCGAGGCACGTGCCTTACCACTGCACCACCTTGCCGCCCAACATCACACCACATACACAGAAATAAGTGGTGGGGTGCGCTTGCTTGTGCATGTTGCGTGTGCAGGCCTGTGGGCGACACGCTGGACAGAGAGCCCCGTGCTGAACCGCGAGCGCTACGTGAAGCTGGCGATTCGCGAGGCTGTCACCTTCTCCGTGTTTCTTGCACTGCTCTGTGTGGGTGAGGTCTTCGCATGCATTTATATGTATGCCGTACACTTGGGGATCCGCTTCCTATTTAAACATGTCGTATATTGTATATTTAAGGACAATTTCTGATGTTTTTTAGATTCTTCTGGTAATTTACACGATGTAAAACAATTAGCGTGCCTTCGTGGATGCCACTTTTGTATTTAAGCCCGATTTTTTTTTTTCCCATTAACCCAAATATTGGGATCGCATCCCCACCACGCACATTAACACGAGCATGCATCTGTGAAAAATCACATTTCGATCAACACTTTCATATTGACACAAAGCACTCGTTCAGTGATTTGAGGGTGTGCGAGGGCAAGTGCTTCGCAGCTGGTGTTCCGCCGTGGCACATACGTCCCAAGTGTGCCGTGGTATTTGTAGAGTTATAGGAAAAGAATAAACTCTCCTCCGTGCCTTCAGTGGCCATTGCAGCTCCCACCTCCCGCCCTCCCCTCTCCATTGGTCGCGCTTTCGTAGCGCGGCAGACGGCGTCAGCCACCACCACCGGCCCTCTCAACTCCCTCGGCTACGCCACGTGTGTGAAGATCGAGCAGGTTCGAAAGTGAGGGCCGTGGAATGAATCATTACGCTAGGGAAATTCCTGATGGCAGCCTCTGATCAATATGATTACAGAGAGAGGTGAGCACAAGCAGGATGGAGTCCTTTTAGAAAAATGCATTTGATGATGAAAAGCACCGTACTTCAGTGCCTAAAGAAGAGCATTTTCAATCAATGCATCTTACCTGCTGTTACATATGGTTCAGAAACATTGACGTAAAAAAACATGAAATATAACGCAAGCCTTTCCTGGACCACTGAGCCCTGTTAGCCCCCAGCGCCGTAGAGATGAAGCACGGAGGGCTCTGCACTCGTCGCTAGCTTCAGCTTACGTCTCAACGCTTACAGCTGCACACTCGCCTCTTGTCGATTCAGTGTTTACTGAGGGCAGAGCTGCCTTCTGTGAATTGTTATTCCACCTCCATTTTCTATTCCGTTATCCTGTCACTCGTTCACCCCCGGGAAAGCCTCACTGAGTCTCCTGATTATTTTTTGAGAGGGTCCTGCCATGCCTTTTTCACTGTCTATGCCAGCAGCATCTTATCCTGTGGCGTACAAAAATTTCCAAAAACTATAAACGTTAAATATTCGGAATTAGAATATTAAGTGACTTGGAGCATTAAACTTAACATTAAAAAAATTGTAAGGCTCGTAATGATCCTTTAATTCATCGATTGATTGACAGTGATTTGCATGTATCGGATAGTGCAATAACTGTTTGATGGTTTCCTGGTTTCACAGAAATGTGTGCATTCTTGAATTGGTGCCCAGTTGACGTGAGAATAGCCGAGGTGTGCCTGCACTTCCACATTCCTCACCCCTCCTTAGCTCGAAGTACGTGATAAAGACGTTCCTGTGTGTGTCTGTGCTGTGTGTACAGTGGCCTATAGTAGTCGCATTCCATTGGCTTACGAATACACGCATGCTGTGTCGGAGATGTTCACGTCATCGCCGCTCTCCAACGCTGACCCAACAACGTTCCACAACCTTGCGACAATAGAACAAGTCTGGCAGGTATTCCACCTGTGTACGCACGTGGGTGTCTTTGTCTAGTGGTCTGGAGAGCAGTAATCTCGTGGTTAGTGCACTGGGCTACAGGCCTGGCCAGCTGAGTTAGATTCCCGTACACGGCCAACATTAGTGATGAATATATCTCAACAGGTACTGGGCCTCCCCGAGGTCAACTCAACCTTAAATGAGTACCTGCTGTGGTGCGTAAACATCAGCACTGGGGAGATGAAGGGTGGTGGTGTTGGCCACCCAACCACCCACTTGTGTGCCTTGCATTTTCATAGGTGCTCGCTAACAGCCCTTGTGCCAACAGTCTGTAAAAGGCTTTAAGGGGAATCTTTATCTTTGTCATGTGATATGTGGGATTTGGTGCTTGTATTGGGTGTGTAAGGACTATGCAAAATAAAAATAATTTGTCTTGTTAGGACCATTCTGGTATTTCCAGAATTACCTTGCAAGTGCATAAATATGTCAAGATAAGCAAACTAATAGATATGTGAGTGGGTTCATATGTGAATGGTTAAATAGGTAGGTGAGCGTAAGTTAATAATCAATTAGCTAGGTGAGTGTGTAAATATATTAGGTAAGCAGTGAGTATCAGCTGTTATGAGTATTTTTTTTTTAAATGACGAAACAGTGCAACTGATAATTTGGTAGTGATTGATAATCTATGTGCAACGTGTCTCTCCCCAGTACCTTACCGGCCCATTGCTATGGGCTTTGCATAACTCCGGCTCCAGAAACCTAACCAATTCAATGGTTAGTGGGGAAAATCTGGTTGTGGAGCCTGTGATCATCTGGTAAGAGCCTGCATGCACCACGAGACCTACGCTCAATCCACTCGTTAGGACAGCACGATAGTGCAGCAGTCATGCTTGTGCCTTGTAGGAAGAAGTTCCTGGGTTCGATTCCTGACTTGGGCGTCTTCCCGCGAGGAGTTTGTATGTTCTCCCCCTGTTCTGCACAGGTTTTCTCTGAATTCTCCAGTAAAAAAATAAATGGAACTGGTTTTGTCCAAACATTCAAATGTTGGAAAATGACAAGAAACTTAATTAGCATTACACAAAGCAACATCCCCTCCCCCACCCCCCCTCCCTATTGAGAAAGCTTGGCAGGCCCCTCCTTCACAAGAGTCTTGAGACTCGCTGGGGCTATTCTTGGGTAAACATTATACATTTCGATTTAAAGCTTTCATGACTGCAATGATTAATCTTCTTTGGTTCTTTCGGTAAAGTCACGTAGAATGAGAATAAAATAATAAATTGATAAAATAAAATAACACAGTAATATTCTCACGACGTTTCGGCCACAACACAAGCAGCCTTCATCAGGTGAAGGGACGAGACTGTCTGGTAGGACAGCACTGGAGTGAAAGAGCCACGTTCAGATCACGGCCTTTAAGCTGTGTGAGAGGAACAAAGCGCCTTGACAAAGGAATTAGCATATAATTTAGCATTGAAATGGCTGAATGATTAGCTTGTGACTGGTCACAGAAATAGCTATGTTAAAAGTTAAAGCATACACATCCGCAGAGGCACCCCTTGTTAAAGGAATTAGCATAGAATTTAGCATTGAAATAGCTAAGTTAAAGCATACACATCTGCAGAGGCACCCCTTGACAATGGAATTAGCATAGAATTTAGCATTTAAATAGCTGAGCGATTAGCTTGTAACCGCTCACAGAAATAGCTACGTTAAAGTCAGAGCATACACATTCACCGAGGCACTTAGTACAAATCAAACAGGAGAATTTAGCATTGAAATAACTAGGCGAATTTAGCATTGAAATTAATGAGTGATTAGCTAGTGACTGGTCACAGAAATGACTATGTTGAAGTCAAGGCCTACACATCTGAGCTATTCACAGTACTATATAGTGAACCAATAAAAACTAAAATATAAATTACCTTAATGTAATTTAAAATATAAATTACCTTAGCATATATCACAATGCTATAGCAATGCTATAGCAATGCTATAGCATTGTGATATATAACGACTTATTGTTGGTAGCTTAGCTGATTGGAGAATATAGAGTTTATTGATAACATTAAGGTAATTTATATTTGAGTTTTTATTGGTTCACTATATAGTACTGTGAATAGCTCAGATGTGTAGGCCTTGACTTCAACATAGTCATTTCTGTGACCAGTCACTAGCTAATCACTCATTAATTTCAATGCTAAATTCGCCTAGTTATTTCAATGCTAAATTCTCCTGTTTGATTTGTACTAAGTGCCTCGGTGAATGTGTATGCTCTGACTTTAACGTAGCTATTTCTGTGAGCGGTTACAAGCTAATCGCTCAGCTATTTCAATGCTAAATTCTATGCTAATTCCATTGTCAAAGGGTGCCTCTGCGGATGTGTATGCTTTAACTTAGCTATTTCAATGCTAAATTCTATGCTAATTCCTTTAACAAGGGGTGCCTCTGCGGATGTGTATGCTTTAACTTTTAACATAGCTATTTCTGTGACCAGTCACAAGCTAATCATTCAGCCATTTCAATGCTAAATTATATGCTAATTCCTTTGTCAAGGCGCTTTGTTCCTCTCACACAGCTTAAAGGCCGTGATCTGAACGTGGCTCTTTCACTCCAGCGCTGTCCTACCAGACAGTCTCGTCCCTTCACCTGATGAAGGCCGCTTGTGTTGTGGCCGAAACGTCGTGAGAATATTACCGTGTTATTTTATTTTATCAATTTATTATTTTATTCTCATTCTACGTGACTTTACCGAAAGAACCAAAGAAGATGAAACATTTTGATTTAAAGCTTTCGTGACTGCAGTAATTCATATTCTTAGTTTTTTCGGTAAAGTCACGTTGAAGAAAAAACTAAGAATAAGATGAAACATTATACATGCTTATAATACGTAAGGTTTTGCATGGAATAAAACAATGTATGGCGAGTGCTCTGCATTATGACCCTGGTGAGACCCGGGTTTGTGTCCCGGCCATGGCTAATAACATAGAGCGAGTTGCGCGCACTATGTGCTGTGTGGAAATGATGTTTCTTAGTGGACATGAGCGTTCGTGCAATAATCACGCAAATCCACGCCGACTTTTCTGCAACTTTATTTTGTTATGAATATTTTTTTAAAGTTATTTGTCCAAGCTAATTTTACACTGCAAGAAATTTATTTGAATTAATTTTTATTTATGTTTGTCCACTGTTTTCAATATCTTGTATTTTCTTGTTTTTGCCCTGGTATGTATTTGGTTATTTTAGCAGAGTCAGGCTTAAATTTTGATTTAAAGCTTTCGTGACTGCAGTAATTCATATTCTTAGTTTTTTCGGTAAAGTCACGTTGAAGAGAAACAACAAAATAACAAAATATATGATGATGACCGTTTGAGTTATGGTCGAAACGTCGTGAGAATTTTTTATTGTTTTATATATATTTTGTTATTTTGTTGTTTCTCTTCAACGTGACTTTACCGAAAAAACTAAGAATAAGAGTCAGGCTTGTTTGAACTAATGTAGGTGAAGATTTCAGTCGTAATTAGTGTTGGTCATCGATTATAGACTCTTCTCCCCTGCCTGTACTGAAGTCGAGCTTCAATATAGACCATGCTGGAACATAGTGCCATGATATAGCTCTCATGTGTGCCTTAATAATACTTGCAGTGTATTGATTTGTAATATCAGCCAGGCAATGTTGCTATGCACGTGGCCTGTAATTCACCACTGTAGAGGTGAGGGTTGGCAGATCGCGCAAATGTTGTAAAACTCCATTCCCTTTCGTGCCGAGGATGAGCCATACCCCAGGCTTGCCAGGAAAAGACTGATAAACAAAGTGCATGGATTTTCTCCAGGCATTCTGGTTTCCTCCCACATGTATAAACACTCCTTAATTGGCTGAAAAAGTATGAATCTATGCGCCTCTGAGTGCTGCAAATAGCCAGCATTGTGCATGATGGAGTGATGCTACTATATAAAATTGAAATGTCTTATTTTTTCCACTGGAGGTGTCTCTGTGCTAAAAAAATCAGGAGCCAAAGCATTACATTTCACAAGTCATTGCCACAGCAGGTGCACAATGGTTTTTCTCTCACAGCAAGCAGTACCCTATTTAAATTGAGGGCTTATCCAGCATGAATGAAAGGAATGTGACAAATGAATGTTTGGATCATTTTTAGGTGACCATGACATGATAATCGGTAAGACTTCTGCTTGCCCAGATATGCAGCCTCATTTGAACACAAACGACATCTCGATAAAGCGCTTCGACAGAGTAAAATGTGACTCGGAAGCCAATAATCACACGGCGTGTGTTGGAGACAAATTTCTGACCACCGTGTTTTTTTTGCGTATGGCTGTAATTGTTCTGAAAATTCCTCTTAGTGGTGAATAAGTCTCTTGTCCTAAATAAACCTCTGAGTTTTATCTCCTCCAAGGAAAAAGTAGGTCTTGGCTTCTGATTAGATCTGACTCAATGATAACAATGGTAACGTTTAACGTACCACATGGTATTCTCTCGCTCTCGAAGAGGGAGAACGACTCAAAGGCAGGAAGGCAGCCACGTGGTGAGCTGGCGTTAAATTTCACCACAAGCTCTGTGATACTATTAAGGTATTATCGGCCAATGAATTAGTGGTGTTTTTACACGTGGGAGGAAACTGGAACAAGTGGTAGGAAACTGGAGCATGCGATGGGGCACCGCTATTTCATACAGATGGAGCAAGCGGTGTCCACATTTTGCTGTCACATTATATATGGCTCCTCGAAGCCCATGGGAAGGAAGTTTCACAACATTTGTGTGACCCACCAACCCTGGCCTCCACAGTGCTGGATTACAGGCATGCTCCAAAACCGCCTGGACAAGTCTACTGTCAAACACGTTTCTATCGGTGCATTAAGGATTTGTCGCAGCCTGCTCTGCATACACGTGTGTTGTAAACAACCGTTAACCGAGTTGTTTCAACAAGGCTCTAAGTTTAGAAATGTGTAATTATTTGCTGATGTGTGCACGCACATGCATGTGTGTTTTCAAGGCAAGCACGTGTTCACAACAACTCCTGTTGGTCATTGTCCACCAATTTGGGGACTGGAACGACAGAGTGTTATGGGCCGTACTCATCGGCAAACGAAAACAAGGATCCGTTTGGGCCTGCAAACAGCACTGTGTAAGGCGCATGCATTTCAAGTATCGCTGTTAAAATCTCACTTTTTGAAATTTACTGGGAACAGCAATAATATAAACAGTTAATACCGGGTCATTGCACATATTGTCTAAGAGCAATAACTAGAAAAAGTTCAGCTTTTAATTGAGAGATGCAGGGAGCTGCTGCCACAGTGCTGTAATGGTCGGTGCTCTGGACTTGCCGTTCAGAGGTCGTCGGTTCAATTTAACCTCTCGGCGCGGCACATGAAACGACGGTGCAAGTTTTCAGTTGGTTTATTCATTCATTACATGCTGCTGGAGACCGGTTCCTGACTTTCAAAACCGGGAATTGATTCAGATAATGGTTACCGGTTTACCGGTTGTCGTTTAACAACCCTAATCTCAAGTGTACACAGAATTACAGCTGCACACATCTAAAAGAAAATCACTGTGTGTGCACACGTGAGTGTAAAGCCCTGGTCCTGCACTATAAGCATCGCGTGAACACCAAATGGACATTTTTTTCCAAATAATTATTATTTCGATTTAAAGCTTTCGTGACTGCAGGGATTCATATTCTTGGTTCTTTTGGTAAAGTCACATAGAAGGAAAATAATAAAAATAAAACAAAATTCACACGACGTTTCGATTGCAACACAAGCAATCATCATAAGGTGTGAAAACCACAGCAATAATAAAAAAAAAATCTTGCTGTGGTTTTAAAAAAAAAATCTTGCTGTGGTTTTCACACCTGATGATGATTGCTTATGTTGCAATCGAAACGTCGTGAGAATTTTATTGTTTTATTTCGATTATTTTATTATTTCCCTTCTACGTGACTTTACCGAAAGAACCAAGAATATGAATCCCTGCAGTCACGAAAGCTTTAAATCTAAATAATAATTATAATTATTATTGTTAAGCGTTTGTTGTACGTGGCACGTGCTGGCACTGTGGTGTGCAGATGGCGGTTTGATTCGGAGGCGGGCGTTCCGTGGCAAGGAGCGCTGGGCTGGTACGGCCCAGGCGGGTACGCCGTGAGGCTGCCAGCCGACTCGAGGACCGCTGCGTGGCAGGAGCTGGCCGCGTTGCGCGACGCGAGCTGGTTGGACAGGGCCACCCGCCTCCTCTCGGTCGACGCCGCGCTCCTCAACCCAAACCTTCGCCTCTACATGGTCGTACGGTACGGGGAGCAGATTCGCATGCAGCCCTTCCTTCCCCTACAGCTACGTGCCATTTCGTGATGAATCACGGATCTGATTAAAAGAAAAATCTATGTTTTTTTTTGTTGGCGCTGGACGATCTGATCTCGTTTGTCCCATTAGCCTAATGATAATATTTTCGTATAATTTCCATAAATTACAAATAGTTCTTGAACGTGATTCAATGGATGTATGCATCGTGGGCGTTAGAGTAAATTATAATGGATGTTTAAACGATGTCTCAACGAATCATCACGTGTGTGCTCGCTGAACTCCGTGGCGACTACAATGCCTTGCCTTTGTCTCTCTGCTCGGTGTTATAATCACTGTCCTTGCCAGAACCTTTCCATCGGTTGCCGAAAATTATATCACGTTTTGACAACGCCCGGTCTAGTCTTCACGCTGACACAGGCACATGGTGCCCATCGTGGGCCCTGCTGTTTTGACAGCGCCGGTTCTCGTCTCGCCGATGCACATCCAGTGCCCACTTGTGCCCACTGTGCTCTAGCGTGATACTTTTCCCCAATATTCCCATCAATGTCCCTAGGCTGTCCATGGAGTTTCCCCCGACTGGAGGAATCCTCACGGCCTTGTCCTTGACTCCCGGCCGCCCGCTTGGCACCCCCCTGTGGGATGCACGCGCCGTGTGTGGCCTCCTGGCTGCGTTGCTCACCATCTACTATCTGGTGGAGGAGGTGCTGGAGCTCAGAAACCTGGGTCCTGCTGGCTTTCTCTCCTCTCCGTGGACCTTCCTCGACATTTCCATCATTGCCGTGAGGACCACAGATCGCCGTTGCCACAATCGCTGTTAGCATAACCACCATAAAGGGGCGGCAGGGTGGCGCAGTGTAACCCTCGCGCATCACAGCATGAACGGCCTGGGTTAGATTCCGAGCTCAGGCGCCTTTGTGTGTGGAATTATTCTCATCCTGTTCTGTGTGGGTGTCCTTTTGAGTTCTCCGTTTTTTTCCCATAGTAAAAAAAAAACACACAATAATGTAAATGGTATTTGCTTTATTTGGTATTTGTCCTGCTCTTATACCACAGTGCTATCACGAAGAAAGGTGCGACTGAGTTTCCCTGACACAGTCTGGAAGAGTTTCACAGTAGTGAGTGATGTTGTGGTGTATAATCACAAATAAGTAATTGGCGATGTAATATGTCAAATTTGGACCATGACGCTGGCATGCAATGGCCTTCTCGTTTTGAATGATGTCACAAGACCTTTGATGTCCACTGTGAAGCAGACAGCACATGGTACATTAATGTGAACACACCCGCAGTAATAACCAGGGCAGCCTGCTGAATTCTACACGGGGATTCTTTGTCTTTTGTTTGTGACGTGCGTGTGCAGCTGTGCGTGGTGGGCACGGCTTTTGGTGTCCACCACGGAATCCTCTCAAGCTCATTACTCGGAGAAGCATCTTCCAGTCGAGCCATGAGCTTCTCCACCGTGAGCACCGTTGCCGAGTGGGAGCAGAATTTTATCATCGTCACAGGAATCATCGTGTTTGTGGCCTGGATCAAGGTAAAGTTCCCACACACACACTCATTTCCCTGTATAATCTCAAACAAGAATAGATGGAGCTCTGTGCAGCAACCATAGACTGGTGTGAATAGATCTCACTTGAGTACCTTGTACAGGGTCTAACCATCAGACTAGGGAGTCCAAAGCTTCCGGGCTTGTTGCTGGCAATACCGCTCCCCCGTGTGCCGTGCTGGCCTTTATAGGCTCTCGCTAACGGCACTTGCCCCAGCAGTCTGCTAAGGCTATGCGGGGGGGCATCTTTGTCTTTGCGCTTGCTTCCAGGTGGTGCGGTTTGGATCCATGTGCCGCACACTGACGATGTGCGGGTGTGCCCTCACCCGCTGTGCCTGGGACTTACTCGGCTACACGTTGGTGTTCGCCACGGTGTTCCTGGCGTTCGCACAGCTGGCGTTTCTCATCTTTGGCGGCGCGCTTCCCGACTTCAGCTCGTTCAGCTCCTGCATGTGAGCAGCATGGCACCAGCACCAACATTGCCAGGCACCTGCGGCCTCATGTGCACCCACCACTGTCATTTCACGACATTTAAAAATCTACATGTCGGCGGACAACCCTGTAAAATCCAAAACAATGAGCCTGTAAATGAGGACACACGTACAACCTGAAACGCCGAGCAACGTGTTTTATTGTTGGAATGCACCATGCGTTGGAAATATGAAGCAAGAAAATATTTAATGTATAAAAATATAAAGATATCCTTCTGGACACTAGTGCCACCGTGGCACCCCTTGGTAGCGAGATGTTCTAGAGGAAGAGTATTAGAGACCCCAGGAGCAGGAGCAGAGAAGGAGTGACCTCCCATTTATATATTCACCTTTTATTAGATGTTTCTGGTGTGTATTCTGACCAATGAGTGTACTGATTAGCCCTCGCTTAAGGAGGAAGATGCGTTCCAAGAAAAGGGCGCACAAAGAAAACCGCACGAGACAGCTGCCAGCAGAGGAGCGCCTACCACACACACACAGTGTTCTCCCACGGCCGACCACATAGCCACACATAAGTGAATTCAAAGAGCATTTAGTGAATTTTTGCTAGAAATAACTTCACAGCATATACACAATCGCACCAACCCAATCCACATAAATCAATGGAAAACTGAATGTGAAGGAGGGTACTGCTAAGTTTTTGCAGGATGGGCCAATTTTGTCTTGTGTAATGCCAATTAATTCATTTTAGAGTAAAAATTTTTGGAGCACTACGCCGGCACACAATGACCTTCCCTTCTTCGAACGCAGTCACGGGATCCTTAATGTCCATTGTGAAGCAGACACAGGTAGCCCTGGTTAATACTGCAGGTGTAATAACCGGATCCGAACTAGCACGCACCCCGAATGATGTCCTTGATTCTGTCCCCAGCCTGACACAGGTGCGTATTTTGCTGGGAGATTTTGACTTCTCATCTCTGGAGGCTGCAAGTCGGATCATGGGGCCAATCTACTTTGTTTCATATGTGTTTTGCGTGGGGCTCATCATGATGGTAAGGGCCTGCTTACAGTCGTAAAATCTGTACCTGACGAGACGAAACTATCATAACAGATTCATCGCATAGACCTGAAATCCACATGTTTAAACCAAAACAACAGCAGTGAGCATTGGTGACTATACTCTGCTGATGAATGCAAATAAGAACGCAACTGGTGCACAGTTGTCTATCACTGCATCACTGCTGCCTGCCTGTCAGTCGGTCGGTCGGTCACATTTGCACAAATTTATTTTCGTGGTGACCTAAGATAAGAGCACTGTGCACTTCTTCAGGATGTGCTTCTGATTTTTTGACAAAATTCACAGAGGCTGTGTGCTGTTTACTTGTGTTGTTTGAAACGTAAGGGCTTGCTTCATACACACACACTCGGTATTAATCATGTTTTATCAATTGCAGGGTTTAGATTTTTTTTAAACGACACCCCTTCTGCACCGGTTGATACCAAGAGGGCAGGGCAGCACAGCTTGAGACGTTTCTCTCGCAGCGCGTTGTGTCTCCGATTCGTTTGCTTTAGTTTGGATGGGCTAAGATGAGGGTTGGTGGATCGCACAAATGTTGTGAAACTCCCTTCCTGTGGGCATGGAGAAGGGAGTCAAAACCCTAGCTTGCCACATGGGTTTCCTCCAGGTGCTCTGGTTTTAACACTCATTAATTGGCTGCTTACACCTTAATATATGGAGGACCACAGAGCTCGGGCAATTGTTAGCACCGGTTCACCGCGTGGCTGCCTTCCCGCTTGTCTGTGGTTCCTCCCGCCTCCGTGTCTTTCTCTCTCTTCAAGAGTGAGTGAGGACAGTACAACGGCGCGTTACAAGTTTAATATTATTATTTCTAAATCAGAAACATGTACCCCAGTGGTGTCATCTCAGAACTGTGTCAGGACTGAGCTCCTCAGCCAACTCTCAGTGCTGTTTTCTGTATCGAAGCGGTCCTGGTAGATCTGCTGTCCGTGAGTTGATTTTCATTTGGTGCCGATGACCAGGGTCGAGCCAGGATATCGCTAATGGCCGACCGAGTTCAGACAGCATGCTGTGTATGCAGCTGCTGCTCTGGCGTTACATCTTTGCCAGCAGAAGACCGTGCAAAATACAAAAAAAAAGAATTACATACGGTACTATTCTTCCACATCTATGCTGCCTCTCTTCATAAACCTGCACTCACCAGCACAGTGAAGTATGATAAAATAACCCTATATGGCTTGGGAGTGGGAGGCCTTCATCCAGCGGTGGATTGAACAGAGGCGTCCACGCATGCTTGCTTGTGTATGTGGGGTGCGCATGGCAAATGATCTGGGTCAATGCTTAACGGTTTTCCCACCTCCTGCCCTGCACTGGACGTTAACTACCCCCCCCCCCCACCTCTAGGTGATGTTCCTGGCTATAGTGAGCGAAGCGTACTCTGAAGAAAAGAGCGAACAAGCCCACAGCCAGCCTCAGTTTCAGCTCTCCAGTGTGATCAAGCAGGTGCGTGTGTGCGTGTGGGGAGCGGTAGTGTAACGGTTAGTGCACCGTGCTAAGGATCCGGCGACCCGAGTTCGATTCCCGCTCATGGCCAACACCAATGACAATCATCTGGACCAATTCCTGGGCCTTGCCAGGTCGATTCCGTCTCAAATAAGTACCTGTTGCGGTGTGTAAACATCACCGCTGAGGAGGCAAAGGCGGCCGCTCGTAGTGCTGGCCACCCACCCCTCATGTGCCGTGCCAGCCTTCCTTGGTGTTCCTTAACAACACTTGCCCCAGCAGTCTGTTAAAGGCTACACGGGGATCGTTGTCTTTGTGCACAGGGCTGGATGAAGGTGGTGGACAGACTGAGCTGTAAGAAGCCACGTGTTGCAGGAATACAGAAGACTCTGCCCCCCTCTGGTCAAATTAACTTTGCCACATGGAGACAGAATCTGAAAGGGTAAAACGAATCTGCTTTATGTATGTTGAACTTCTTTTGCACCGTACGTAGCCAACCGTGCTAACCTGTTTTTAAATATTTGGCAAATAGTATTCGTACTATGATGCGAGTTTACCCCGGAGAAGCCTCACTGAGTCCCATGATGCTTTTTTTAAGGAGAGCCTTGTGAAATGTTCACAGTAGGGGGCAGCAATCACTATGCTTTTTCCAATTTAGTAGAATTTTTCTAAATTTGGCAAATTAGGACCACGATGCCAGTAGATAATGGACTACTCTCCTTGTCAGTGATGTTACAGGATCTTTAAAACGGCCACTTTATACCAATATGCACATTTTTTTAAAGGTTAAACACGTGCAGTATTAACCTGCCGGTGTATTCACCTACCTGCCGGATTAGAAACTCGAATGTAACAAACAAACGTGTCTCCTGTGGTGGTGCTATGGTGGTGTGAACTGGTGGTGATGTGGTAAAGTGTTGTGGTGATATGGTACCTCGCTTGGTATACAGCAGGTCATGGGTTCGATCCTGACCCTGACACCTATAGTTTTGGAGTTTGTCTCTCTTCCTGTGGTTACGTAGGTTTTTCTCTGGGTCCTCCAGTTTTCCCCTTCAAATTTAGAATCAACAAGCGTTTAGAGTATTTGGTTGCTATACATTTCAACGTGAAAAGCCACTGTGTTGATCTGTCACTTAGTTAGGTCGCTTCTAAAAAAGAGCTACGTAGCTCAGTGGACCTTACCTTGGAAAATAAAAATAGTTTAGTAATAGTTTAAAATAAAATAGTTTAGTTTGATGTGGTGTGACGTGGTTTGGTGAAGTGGTCAATGGTGACGTGGTGTGACGTGGCGCTGTGACATTGCTTCGCTGTGGGTGCAGACAGGGGTTTGCCGATGCTGAGATCGAGGCAGTGTTTGCGCGGTATGATGGCGATGGAGCCCTCACTCGTGCTGAGCAGCTCCAGATGAGGCGGGACCTCCGTCTGGAGAAGGTGACGTGGATGTGATTGATTCCAGAACATTTAAATAACTCACCAATTGGCATAATCGTCCTAATTAGGAAATGTAAACTCATCATCTTCCAGCAGATGTGGCGTGGTTGTCCGGCTGATGTCTGATGCATCATCCTCAAATTCCTTGCTGTGTGACCTCTCTGGAACTAGCCTTGGTCCTGTTGATTTTGAAAAGACACTCTTCTTAGACATTTTAATCTAAATTATCTCGAGCCTCCCGTAAATCCCGTGACTTCGATGTGGCCACCCCCGCTCTGAATCTCTCCCTCTCCCCGCCACCCCCTGCGAAAGCACATGCCGCTCCTCCATGCTGCAGTGTTGAGGCCCTGATGATGCAACCTCTCCCCCCCCCAATTCTCATCTCTGCTGACCCATTTCCTCGCGTTTTTATCTGTTCCTCTTTCAACCATTTCCTCGAATCTCCCATTGCTTTGCTTCTCTCGTCCCTTTCCCATTGCTTTGTCTTTTTTGCATACATTCTATCATTGACTCCCCCCCCCCCCCCCATGGTGCCCCATGGGCACAAAGTTGTAAATATGTATGTTGAACTTCTTTCGCACTGTACATAGCCAACCGTGCTAATCAGAGGTTCAAAGTTGCTTGTATCCATCAATCAGGCTCTATTTATACAGTCCACTTCACATCAATATTAGCATGGTTGGCTCCGTACGGTGTGAAAGAAGTTCAACATACATAAAATGCACCCAAGGTAATATAATTTTTAAATAATGATGAAATGAATGCCGCACGCTTCCTTGCTTGAGATAATGAGACACAGTATTTTACTTCATGTAGAGCGCTATCCTGCGGATGAAAGGGCTTACTGGAGGGTGAGATGCACCCCCAAGTTTTTACAAAATACACAAGCAGACAATACGTCTACACATTTCCGTCTCTCCACGTGAAAAAAAAAAAAAAAACATCGAGAATTTTTTACGCAACCCATTGGCCGCACAGCCTTCTGGGAGTGCATCATTTCAGCAGCATTGATTCAATACCATACGTAGGCAACCATGCTAATTGGAGGTGCTAATAGGAGGCTTCTTTTATCAGTGCTGGTGAGCTGCTGATCTTACAGACAAGGACCCTGTTTTTACGATATGAGTCTGAGTTCGACGCAAAAGTATATAATACCAATCTCAAAATGATCATTGGCGTTACGGAGAATATACTTTATGAATACATACGCACATACACTCTTAACTTGAAAAGAATAGGAGAATCCGGTGAAGTCGCGATGGCCTTTTGAGTTGTGGTCGTTTTTCCAGGAGGCTCTGGGAGGCTCCGCGGATGAAGTGGGGGACGACGTGGACACCTCCACCTCGCGGTCCCGTCACTCGCTGCCCAGCCAAGTGACGAGCCGCGACGATGATGACGACGATGACGACGGAGACTCGGATGAGGACGATGACATAACCGTCGTCCGTCGTGGAAATCACCATCAAGGCGGTGGCGGTGGCGTCTCGCGGGAGGAGTTCCGAGTGTGAGCCCCTACGAAAGCGCGGATGTTGTCGCCTGTCTCGTCGCTGTGCACGGCGTCTGTTGGTCATGGCTCGGTTGGACTGCTGTGTATGGAGCGATCAGTTTGCGCGTGCAGGAGCAAGGTGCATTCCTTCAAGTTTTTGTCTTAACCAGGCGAGAGCTCGGGATAAGTTTAATTAGCAAGAGTGACCTGGGTGACCAAAATGAAAAAATCAATAACATAAAACAGTGTAATAATGAAACAAATTGAAGTTGGAAAAAAAAAATCCACGTTACAGAACCAATAGAAAATGGTGCACAAACAAATCGATATTTAGTAAAACAAGCAAACCACACATGACCATCAATCCATCCCACCCAGCTAACGAGCCAGCAAAATTGTTATTGTTCTACTGTACAGAGCCCAGTCTCCACCTTTCTCTTGCCTTCTCTGTACTGTATTTTGCAATTTATTTCAGTGTCTCACTTTGTCTCTGTTTCTCATTCCTCTGTCCCCTATTCTACCTCTCCCGCCCTCTATACTCCTCTTCTCCCTCCACTGTATCTCACCCACTTCCCTCCCGCTATCTTTCTCCCTGTTTCTCTCACCTTCACTCTCCTTATTCCCACCTCCCCCTATCGTGTGTCTCAATATCTTTTACCTCTCCCTAGTCCTCTCTCCCACTGCTTATCACATTCTCCCGCTGTCCTCTTTCCGTTTTACTCTCTCTTTCCTCTCTGCTTGCCCCTCTCCACTCTGTCTCACCTCCCTCTTCTATCCCTCCCTCCCTCGCTCACTCGCTCGCTCGCTCCCATTCCTCCTTAGTATGAATATGATAACTCTTGAGTTTAATTATATGATACACATCCAGGGTGGAGGGTGGGGGGGTGAGGCATGACACTGGTGCGACGCAGGAACCCGGCTCGATGCTGTGGGGTGCGGGTGACGTGACGGCACCCAGACAGACAGGAATCCACCCAAGTTATCACGCCATCAAACTTTTTTTCTGATATAGCATGATAAGTGGATTATTATTCATTTGAGCTGGACGAGTTACTTTTATTGTTGCTCCTCCAGACCACGGGAGATGGTGACAGCTTTGGGGGAGGCCTTTATCCAGCAGTGGATAGACAATGACTGATGGTGATGGTAGTTCATCGTAGCATGCTCTGTCATGGTGATAGCTCGTTGGGTGTTGCCCGTAGGTTGGTGCGTCGTGTCAACCAGATGGAGCACTCCATCGGAAGCGTGGTCTCCAAAATGGACGCGGTGATGGTGAAGCTGGAGGCGATGGAGCGGCAGAGGCTGCGGCGGAGGGATGTGCTCTCCCGGCTAATCAGTGGGATGGGCGAGGTGACGCGCGCCACACCGCCGTCACACACCGTCACACCGCGAGCACACGCCGTCACACGCCGTCACACGCCGTCACACGCCGTCACACGCCGCCACACCGCCGTCATACACCGTCACACACCGTCACACCGCGAGCACACGCCGTCACACGCCGTCACACGCCGTCACACGCCGCCACACCGCCGTCACACGCCGTCACACGCCGTCACACGCCGTCACACGCCGTCACACGCCGTCACACGCCGTCACACGCCGTCACACGCCGCCACACCGCCGTCATACGCCGTCACACACCGTCACACCGCGAGCACACGCCGTCACACGCCGTCACACGCCGCCACACCGCCGTCACACGCCGTCACACGCCGTCACACGCCGTCACACCATCACACGCCGTCACACGCCGTCACACGCCGTCACACGCCGTCACACGCCGTCACACGCCTGTTGCAGGTGCATCGCACGCTCGAGCCGCGAACACGCGTCAGCGGCACAGCTCGACTTCTGTGGTGAAAAAGCAATAAGCTGGCGGCTCTCGAGCTGCGCCAGGCTGGCTTAGCATGGCTCTTTTGTACGGTGGAAAATATCGGTGCTGGGCTGGGGGCGGTGCAGGTGTCACACGGGATAGGGGGTCTGTGGCTAAAAGACGGTGCCTCTAGTGGATCGGACCACATCAGCGCAGGGTCACGGGGACGGGCTGTTTTTGTAACCCCTCCTCCTCTCCCCCTTCCCAGTTGAGCCCCCCTAAGTGTGCAGATGCACGAGGGAGCCCTTTCGTCCTCTGCATCGGTGCGGTGCTGCTGTCGGTACACGCCGTTCACCACGCTTGCGCTTTGTTGCACAGGAGGAGAGAGGCTCCTGGCCCGGACAGGAAGTGAGGCGCGACCACATGGAGCGGCTGGTCCGCGACGAGCTCAAGCGATGGGACTCGGACTGCTCCATCCGTCCGCCCGGGGTGGGGGTGGTGGGAGGCTCGATCCCTTCCTCACAGGTCGTGTCCACCGGTGGGGCGCTCCGCCCGTCCTCTGGGGGATCGGCAGTTGAGGGCTGAGTGCACGCACACCGAGGATGCTACACCCTACTGCACGCACTACCACAGCACCACATTGTGCCCGCACACCCTGGTGTGAGACGGAGCCGTAAACAACCCTGTGCCCTCGTTACATCCGAGGACCATATTCTTAGTCTTGGCTCGCCCCTGGCTCGGCTCAGGCTTGAGCCGCTCGGTCGCATTTAGAGAGGCATGAGTGAGCGGCCGCTCAGCCACGGTTCGGATCAGGCTCGGCTCCCGGGAAATCCTGAGCATGGCTTAGGGCCTTTCATCAGAGCTGGCCCAAGTTAAGCACGTGGTTCACGGCTGGCTCTTTTGGGCCAAGCCTGAGCTGAGCCGTGCCTAAGAATCCGGGCCTTGGTTATGTTGCGCAGTCGGCATCTGGAGTTGGGGCCAACGTGTGAATGATCCCACCTCGAGCCACCCAACTTCGTGTTGCTTTTGCAGGACCGCTGCAGTAAGTTTTTGTATCAAATTTTTGTTACATTTACGTTTCACACGCGAATAGGGACCACAGTACTGCAATGGCACGTATTATCACGTGTGCTGTTTACACAAATGATGACCATGTGCCAACTGACCCTGTGTAACGTTAACACAAAATAATCATGAGCGTCGCTGTGGAGAATACTCGTAGCAGACACTACACCTCTATATATATCTGTCCACAAGCGCTTCTGGGAGTGTATAGTTTCAGCAGCATTGGTTAAATCCAAGCAACACTGCTACTTGTGGAGGGACGGCTATATACGGAGGAGATTTATTGTCTGCTTATTTATTTAGTTTTATAATTGCATAAGGATTCTCGAGTAAAACCACGCGCATATCTGCCTCGTATGGTTGTTTAGTGGAATTTGCCCCTGTGGAATAGAACCATTCTGTTGATTGTGGTGGTGGGGTGGCTTTGAGCGAACCGGGGGTGGGGGAGCGGTGGTGCAGCGTTTAGTGCTCCACGTTTCGAACCCGGCGACCCGAGTTCAAATCCCGCTCACAACCAACGTCGGTGGCGATTATCTGACCTGGTCCTGGGCCTCCCCGAGGTCAACACTGCCTCAAATGAGTACCTAGTGCGATGTGTAAACATCGCCACTGGGGAGACAAAGGCGGTCGGGCATGGTGCTGGCCACCCACCACCCCATCGTGTGCCGTGCCAGCCTTCATAGGTGCTCCTTGCGAACAGCACTTGCCTCAAAAGTCTCTTCAGGTTATACGGGGGACCTTTGTCTTTGTAGTGAACCGGTGTTATTGATTTGGCAGCAGTTGTCTCGTGCATGTTGTTAAAGGAATATCTGCAGTAGAGTTTTGGCATGGTTCAGTATTGCCATGGTTCACTAGTCACTCAAGTAATGTGGCAAGAGTTCATTGCCAATTCCACACGTGGTGTTTGCTTTAGATAATTATTTAAATATGAAGGGCAGGTTCGCTGGTTTTAAAACTTCTTCGAGAAAAACGAAGGTATGATCTGTGCTTGTATTCATGCCACACGATTATAATCTTGATACATTTTTCAGGCATACAATATTCCCGTAACAGTCTGAAATGTAACAAATATGAAATGGCATTTGGAAAATTATATAATTTTAAATTAATGTGCAGTTGGTGTTACGTTCGTATTGTTACGCGGAATTGGAATTTTAATACAGTATAATTTTCAATTTGGCGGTGATGGCTATGCATGTGGCCTGTAATCCAGCACTGTGGAGGCAGCGAGGGATAGTGGATCACACAAATGTTGTGAAACTCCCTTCCCTGTGGGCATCAAGGAGTGCCATACCCTGGCTCACCAGGAGAAGGCGGTACAGAAAAATGTGGCCAAATCTCAATCTGTTCCATCTGTATGGGGTATTGTTGCCCCCTCACATGTGGATTTTCTCTGGGAACTCTGGTTTCTTCCCACATGTAAACTCATTATTTGGCCGATAACACCTTAATGCATAGAGGACCACTCACCCGTGGTTCCTCCTCGGACCTCGGAGTCGTTCTGTCTCTTCGAGAGCGAGGAGGGATACCATTCGGCACGTTACCAGTTTAAATTATAATATTAATCACGCGTTCTTAGGCTCGATCGATGACAGAAAGTGTCACAGAGTTTACTCTTAATTGCCTTTGTCATGAAGGGGCGATCTCTGGCATGGACAATTAATTCCTTTCATCGTCTGCATTTGCCACGCGCTGGGTTTTTTCACTCCATCGCTTCTCACGTCAGAGCACCACCTGCAGGGGCCCTCTCTGGTCTGACAGATGCACGGCACGACACCAAACACGCGGACACAGTCAACAGCATCGCCGCACGGCACGCAGACACGCATCGTCAACGAGAGGCCGACCGAAATTCGGTTTCGGTGCCGAAAGTTGGCAAATGGCCTCTTTCGGCATAGTTTCAGTTTAGGCCGAAACTGATATTCACTTTCGGTCGTCATTCGTCAACCGAAAATCTATTTTTAGAATATACCGCTAGTGTTACGTCTATCACTCTGCCTATTGGCCCGTCAGTTGGCACTAGGCAATCCTATGCGATAGGCTGCAAACACACACACGTACACACAAACACACACACATACACACATACACACGTACACACACACACGTACACACACAAACACGTACACACAAACACACACACGTCAGTAGCAGCAGCAGCAGCTTGGGAGCGAGGTTACAGCCGCAACCTTGCAGGCTGCTAATGTAGATACAACCGGTCAACAGACAGCAGCCTGTTTGGCTGAATGCGGAAAAACTGTTGTTTCTTAACTACAACATTCGTTTGTTTGGATATAATTACTAAGTAACACCTAAAGATTTGATATTTAGCGACTCTTACTGCAGGCTCTGAATGATTAGTTCTAGATTTTTTAAAATTAAATTAGCATTGCATCATGACATTTCATAAATCTTGTGTTCAGTAACTTCGGTTATAAACCTTTGTTTCTGTCTCGGCCGAAAGTAAACTTTTAACTTTCGGTTTCTGGTTTCGGTTTTGGCTGAAACCAGAAATTCAGTTTCGGTCGGCCTCTATCGTGAACACCACACGTGCGTTTTTATTCTCATAATCTATGTTGCATAGATTTGTTTTAAACAAGCTCCTTTTTTGGAGTGCCTTGTAGCCTAATGTGAAGTAGGTACATCATTTGTACTCTGTGTGTACTCGAGGCTTGCAAGTATAAATATGCAGGCCATCTCAAAATTATTTTTAGGTAGTGAACAATTTACGTGCGTTGACTTCTTAACTCGGTGGTATAATACATTTAAAGACACGTGATTTATGTTATTATAGAGACAGCAGCTCCTGGTATTACCGTCCAGTATCGCTCGTATTTTTGTGTGTGGGTAAATGCCTGGTTGGTCTCAGCATAACCACTCTTTCCCCGTGGCACACCACGGAAAGGGGAGTAGAGTCACATTTTAATGCATGTAAACCGAAAATTAAATGGGAGAGACAAAGAGGGCATGGCTCTAGATGAGCAGCAGGGCAAGAGGGGGAGAATGAATGACGGGGGGCCGAGATGTCGGGGATGGAAGAGACGGGAGGGAAGGAGCAAGCAGAAGTGATTTGAAAGGAGCAGCGTCTGTGTTTGTGTGCGTTTAGTTTGTTGTCTTTCCCCCGCACCTCCGATGAGCACGGTTGGCTATGTACGGTGCGAAAAAAGTTCTACATAGATACGTGCAAGCAGGACCTTTCTTGCCATGGTTCACAGGCCTTGGCTCGGTGGATAATTTGCCAATTGTGTGTTGTGGATTTGTATGATATGTTGGCGCTGGTAGGGAAGTTATTTTCATCTGCACGGTCACAGACAAATTGTCTGTTTCATGATATCGCACAGCTCACTAGTAGAGAAGGAAATATTCCAATGTCTCTGTAATCTCAAAGGTTAATGACATTTGCTCGAATCCGGTTTTTTTTGTGGAGTTTTTTTAAACATATGTAATGGTTGCCATTTGGCTTTGTCCATTTTGTATATGAGTGTATATGTTCAAATATATTTCTGAATAAACAGGTGATGATAAAAAAAAACCCAACATGCCTGTTTCTGTGCTGGTACCGGTTAAGCTTAGGGGCAAGCTCTTGATTTTTCATTATGTTGAGGCACTAAGGACTTTTATTTAAGTCCCAAAATAAGACAAAGATCTACCGTGTAGCCTTTAACAGACTTGGGGCAAGTGCTGTTCACGAGCATCTATGAAGGTCAGGTAGATACGGCATACTGGGTGATATTGACAGCATCACGCCTGGCTGCCTTTGTCTCTTCAATGCTGATGTTTACACCAAACCGGACACCCATTGAAGGTTGAATCCACCTCGGGGATATTCGTTACCGATAGTTGGCCCTGAGGCGGGCATCGAACTTGGGTCACCAGGTTTGTCGCGTAGTGCGCTAACTCCTGCGCCACGGCCCCCCACTAGGCACCACTCAATCGTGGTCGGGTACAATTAACAACAAAAAACCCCCAAACATATTTAGTCAAAAGCACCGTGGTCTTAAAAGAGAAAAATATATATATAACGTGCGACGTTTCGGGCAACGACCATTCATCGTCGCGCACAAACAATGGTTGGGTCGTGTCCGAGGATGCAATGTGACCACGTGTTTATTACAACTCTTGCCCAGGCGGTAGAGACACATTTGTGCGATGTCTAATGTCGTACTGCACCTAAACCTCATGTTCATTTGGAAGCGAGGGATGGCAAACGGGATGGGGGAGGATTTCATTCAGCAGTGGATAAATCACGGCCGGTGAAGAACGTCCCATCTTGCTTATCTCAACCGCAGTGCGCAAGGCGTTCACCACGTGGGCTAGCCCAGGGATTTGTCACGATGGCTCTCCACGGCTGCTTTGTACACATCCGGGCGAGCATTTGTGCAGCAGGAACAATGGTAGATTCGCGCAAGCACGCACAATGAAACGTGTGCTTTGAAGAAGGACCATTTCCCGAAACGTCACCTATTATATATTTTCCTTTTAAGGCTGCGGAGTTTTTATTGAACGCGTTGACTCATTAGCGACGAAGCGCATCGCGTAGAATCGCCAAGCAGACCGATGTTTGACGGTAGAGTCCGTCTCGACTGATGATGCTGGATGCAATCCCCAATGAAACGTCGGACAAAATTGTCTGAATTTTGCTTGGCCTTTTCAGCGTGCCTCCGATTTTGCTGAAAAACCAAATCAAGTGGCAACTTGTACGTATGCATGTTGAACTTCTTTCACACCGTACGTAGCCAACCGTGCTAATCGGAGAAAGTTTGCGTCCATTGGCTTCAGACTTTTCAATACGAAATGAATCCCGTTTAAAGCAAACTAGGTCGGTTTTGACCTTCTGGGTCTCATCGTCTAATGAGAGTTCTTAATCTTTATTCCATTGTCCCTGTCGCGTTGGTGGTGTGTTCCAGGTAAAGATTTGGCATTATACCTACACGACTATCTAAACCCCCCAAAAAACTAATTATTATTTATAATAATATTGGTCGAAGGGGTCTCGACTCGAAGTACTGCCAGCACATGCAAACACTGATGATTTACAAAATACATGTTTGCTGAGCACAGACCCAAACTCGCGAAGACCGAATCGGCCAGCAGCAAACAGCACTTACAGAAGGCCGGCACGGCACACGAGGGGGTGGGTGGCCAGCACCACGCCCGACTACCTTTGTCTCCTCAGTGGCGATGTTTACACACCGCACCAGGTACTCATTTGAGGTTTAGTCGACCTAGGGGTAGCCCAGAACCGGATCAGATAATCGTGTTGGCCGTGAGTGAGAATCAAACTCGGGTCGCTGGGTTCCAAGCGCAGTGCGCTAACTGCGACACTACCGCTCTCCACAAAGGTGATCGCGAACAGCACTTGCCTCCAATGTCTGTTAAGGCTATACGGGGGATCTTAGTCTTTGTTGTGGACCTGCTGCAAGAAAAGTTTCGTCAAATAAATATTGACGACAAATACTGGGACACAAGCGACACGGTGTTAATGTAGTGAGCATGTATTATGTTAATGACTGAGTGAAATCCACAGAATAAGACGTCGTAATGTATAATCTCACAATGGGTTGTCGCCTGCGAGATGAGCATGTGGTGGCGAGATGTTAACTACCTCGCCTGGTGTGCAGGATGTCGTAGGTTCGATCCCGATCCGGACGCCTGCTGCTGTATATTTGGAGTTTGCGTGTCTCTCTCCCCGTGGTCGCGTGGATTTCTCTCCGGGTCCTCGGGTTTTTCCCTCCACCACATTTAGAATCATGCGTTTGGAGTATTGGGCTGCTTTCAATTTCCACGCGATAAGCCGCTGCGTTCAGCTCTCATTTGTGGCCAGGCCACTTGTGAAAAAGAGCTACATGGCTCAGTGGACCTTACATGGTCAAATATATATATATTTTTTACTAAAAACTTTCGTGACTGCAGGAATTCATATTCTTGGTTCTTTCGGTAAAGTCACGTAGATAGAAAATTAAAAATAAAATAATAAAACGTTATAAACATTTTAATAATAAATTGAAAATAATTAAAGCAAAAAACCCACTGACGTTTCGATCGCAACTCAAGCGGTCTTCCATCAGGCAGAGAGATTTTTTATTTTTTTTATTTTTTATCTACGTTAATTTACCGAAAAAACCCAATAATATGAATTCAAAAAGAGTTTAGTTTTTTTTTACTACAAAAATAGTTTAGTTAGGGCAGATGTGTGGGTCTCTGTGTGAGCTCGACTCCCAAAGAGAGCCATCTATTCTGAGAGAAACACGCGTAGATTATTCCCATGGAAAGCCGCAGACTAATACGGTGGTGGCTACGAGCGTGGCCTGTGACCCAGCACTCTGGAGGCGAGCGTTGGTGGATCACGCACGCTCCAAATCTCCCTTCTCGTGGGAGTCGTTGTGCAATCCACTGACTTGCCAGAACAATGCGGTAATAATAAAAACATCGACTCCACCTGTTCCCTCTGTACGGGATCGAGTGTTTCCCCCACGCACGCGCGGATTTTCTCCAGGTGCTCCGGTTTCCTCCCACTTGTAAACAAACACTCATTAATTGACCGATAACATCTTAATATATAGAGGACCGCAGAGCTGTAATTTATTGGCGCTGGCTCATCACGTGGCTGCTGCCTTCCCACTCGTCTGTGGTTCATCCTTGCTCCTCTTGAGTCGTCTTTTTTTTGTCGAGTACGAGCGAACACTGCGACGGCGCCTTACAAGTTTGCTTCATAATCATGATTGCCATTTGTCTGTGGCTTTCTGTGGAAATCCATGGATTTCTCTCAGAGTCTATGGGTCTCTTAGAGAGTCTATGGGTCTCTGTGAGTCGATGGGTCTCTGTGAGTCTATGGAGCTCTGTGCGGAGTATGTGGCTCTCTGTGAGTCTTAGATCAGATGGTGGCGTGACATTGTCAGGCGAGTTAATGGAGGTGGCTGCGTGTCGACTACGGAGGAGAGGAAGCGTTGGCACCGAGGGGGTGGTGGTGACATCAACGCCTTTGGCCATGGCACATTATAATCTTGATGTTTAAAGCAAACACTAAAGCGTTGACTGGGGGGTTCAGCCTGGCTCTGGTACACGCCTGTTCACGTTTCACCTTGACAATATAATGCAGAGATAACGTGCACGCTCGCCATCACATGCAATCTCACGATTGTATTTATTCAGCCCTTATCGCAGAACTCCACAGCAATAGCAGCAGCGACAACGATGGAGAGGATGGAGGGGGGTGGGGGGGCAGCATTGGGAGCGGTTGTCACCTCCTCATTCTCCCATACCACAGCTCTCTACGTACGGTGCGAGAGATCAACATTCTTACAGAATTACAATTCTTATACATCGTGACTTTTTTTACATTGTGATACCTCGGCTGCCTCTCTCGATACGGTGGTCCGGATGTCTTGTGGCCCCCAAGTAATGGACCCCGAACACTGTTTTCCTTTGCAGAGATTTAAATGGGGCTGAGAAGACATCAGGATCACCCTGCACATTCAGTGGCTTGCAACGCACTGCACGAAGTCACTTTGCCTGCTGCACGCACGGGCAGTGTCACAGACATTCAATCCACGTACGGCTGTGCGTCGCAGTGTTAAAGACGTTACAAAGTGCACATTTACTAAAGTTTTTTTTGACGACGTGGCCATCCCGTGCTTGCTACACGGCCGTCACTTGACACCCTTGGCCACCCTGGCAAACGAGACGCTCCATCTCAAGGGATACAACCAGGCGTCATCGTCACCACTGGCTGTAGCGGCAGCAGCAGCCATGATCAATCCCCTGCCGAATGAAGGCCTCCCCATGCCTCCCCGCCACCTCTCACGATCCTGCGACCCAACGATACAATCAACCTTGGATGCCCTATAATTGTTTTAATGAAATAAATAAGCGTGAGCCTGGCACTCACTGCACACCACTGTCTGGTTACAACTGTCAAGCTTATTGCGAATGTAAAATTATGTTTGCGTGATGTAACCCAAACACCTCCATTATGAATAAATTGGTCGCGAAAGCCGACCGCGTGTTAAACTGAACGTGAAAGAGTGCATTCGCGAATGCACCAATGTTGCACACATACCTTTGAACACCCGTGAACGTTATCACCGAGCAAAGCTGACATTACAACATTTAATTGGAAACACGGGTTTATGTGGCTTTTATTATCCTCCTGCACATTAGTCATGCGGCTTGAGCCAAACGCACAGGCACCTCTGCCTATACTGCAGGTGAAATCTATGAGCTGCCTATGTATGCCAAGGTTCAATGCCTACCTCGACTTTGATACATGTGACACGTAGGAGCCACACCGCAGACGCCGCAGCCCCCCACTGAAGCAGCCCTGTCGTGTGAGCTTCTTTAAATGGGGGGCAGCCGACAGCGAAGTGGGGGTCACGACGGTGTTCATTTATTTATTTACCAGGTATGGCCCACTGACCTACTTAGATCTTATTCAGAAGCGACCTGGCTATCACAAACGATGGCTCAACGATGTCGCTCATCGTCGTGTGGAACTTTATATCAGCAGCCAAATATTCTAAACGCTTGACGTTGATTCTCAACGGCGGAGGGAAAAACCGGGGGGAAATTCCCGGAAAGAAATCCACGCGATCACGGGGAGAACGCGAGGCATCAGGGTCCGGATCGAACCCATCATCTTTGACAGACTAACAGTGTGAGCTGCTTTTGACTCTCGTGCAATGGTGGCGCTAACAGAATCAGACTATTTAAAGTGGCGTAATCCGGTGAGTTACAAAGCTCCTTTTCAGAGATGTCCAGTAGGATATTTGCTTGTAGCTAGAAACAAAGTGATCAGGCACCTCACGCTGTGCCTCGGATACAGTCAATCAATCAAACACAACAAGACAATTAACATGGATAAAATCAATCTCTGCCATACACAGCGATGCCTGGCCAGCCACACACTGCCAAGAGCGGCGCCCGACACCTCCCGCGACTCATTTAGCCGGTGGGGGGGGGGGGGGGGTTGAGGAACCTTCCACCAGCAGCGACGTGAGCCGGCAACTGCATGTCCGCGCCTCTGTATTCTTCGCTCAAGTCTCATTCTTGTTCCCCGGGGAGTGCCGCCAGCAATCACTGGGGCTGACTTACGATCTCGTGGCTGCTGACGGCTGCATTCCCGGCCTCGTCTGCGGCTATAAATGCTGCGGGTCGCGCAGCCAGGAGCTCACCTGGCACAGCCGAAGCTCGCTCCTAACTTCGCTTCCTTTCCCACCTCGTCGCCGCAGCCGCCGCCTCTCCGCCTTCGCCCAGCTATGTCATTCGTGGGCAAATGGAAGATGTACAAAAGCGAGAACTTTGAAGAGTTCATGAGAGCATGCAGTAAGTGTCGGGCGCATTCCGAGAGGGCCTCGCTTTGATGGGGCCGTTTCTTTTTTTTAAATATAAAAAAAACTACTTTTCAGCTCGCGCGACGCACGTGGTGGCATGGCCACTTCGTGCCTGCACTGCGAGTCGAGGCTGTGGTTGTTGGCTGCGTGGAAGCCCTTTCTGCCAGCAGTCGCGTGAGCGATCGGTGGCAGGGCTGCACCCTTGAACCATTGCGGTGGTGGCTACGCACGTGGCGGCCATGCGGTCCAGCAGCGAGGGTCAGTGGATCACACATAGACGTTGTGAAACGCCCTCACCGCGGGTGGACGCCGAGGAGGAGCACGTAGTCTGGCGTTGGCAGGAGAAGGCGCTACAGCAAAATGTGGACCCCACCTGGTCCGGTCTGTACGGGATAGAGTTGAACATGTAGCCGGCTTTCGCGACCAATATTATTCATAATAAAAGTGTTGTTGGGTTAGATCGCGTCAGTATGAATGTGTCGTTAACTCTCCAACACACCGGTGGGCTAAACTAGTAACTAATTGGCGCGTCGTTTACGTGGCAAAACCTTACTAATTTTCTGTGTCGGGTGGTGGCGGGCTAACGACACATTTATACCTACGCGATCGAACCCAACAAAAACGTGCGGGTCTCCTCCGGGTACTCCGGGTTCCTCTCACACGCAATCACTCGTCCGTTGGCCGATAACACATCGATAACACATCATCGATAACACATCATCGATAACACATCATCGATAACACATCATCGATAACACATCGATAACACATCGATCACCGCCGAGTGTGTTGGTATCCCCGGCTCCTCATCGCGTGGCTACCGATGCCGCCTTCCCGCTCGTCTCTGGATCCTCCAAGCGCCCTCCCCTCTCCTCTCTCCGACAGCGAGCGAATTCTGTGCGGCGGTGGAGTTGTGAGTTGACATCACCCTGCTGATGATTGAGAGTTGTGAGTTGACATCACCCTGCTGATGATTGAGAGTTGTGAGTTGACATCACCCTGCTGGTGATTGAGAGTTGTGAGTTGACATCACCCTGCTGATGATTGAGAGTTGTGAGTTGACATCACCCTGCTGGTGATTGAGAGTTGTGAGTTGACATCACTCTGCTGATGATTGAGAGTTGTGCGTTGACATCACCCTGCTGATGATTGAGAGTTGTGAGTTGACATCACCCTGCTGGTGATTGAGAGTTGTGAGTTGACATCACCCTGCTGATGATTGAGAGTTGTGAGTTGACATCACCCTGCTTGTGATTGCGAGTTCTGAGTTGACATCACCCTGCTGATGATTGAGAGTTCTGAGTTGACATCACTCTGCTGATGATTGAGAGTTGTGAGTTGACATCACCCTGCTGATGATTGAGAGTTGTGAGTTGACATCACCCTGCTGATGATTGAGAGTTGTGAGTTGACATCACCCTGCTGATGATTGAGAGTTGTGAGTTGACATCACTCTGCTGATGATTGAGAGTTGTGAGTTGACATCACCCTGCTTGTGATTTAGAGTTGTGAGTTGACATCACCCTGCTGGTGATTGAGATTTGTAAGTTGACATCACCCTGCTTGTGATTGAGAGTTGTGAGTTGACATCACCCTGCTTGTGATTGCGAGTTCTGAGTTGACATCACCCTGCTGATCATTGAGAGTTCTGAGTTGACATCACTCTGCTGATGATTGAGAGTTGTGAGTTGACATCACCCTGCTTGTGATTGAGAGTTGTGAGTTGACATGACTCTGCTGATGATTGAGAGTTGTGAGTTGACATCACCCTGCTGATTGAGAGTTGTGAGTTGACATCACCCTGCTTGTGATTGAGAGTTGTGAGTTGACATCACTCTGCTGATGATTGAGAGTTGTGAGTTGACATAACGCTGTTCATGATTGTTACGAGAGAATTTTGCCGGTGACATTGTCAAGTGTGACGTGGGGGGCGTTTGCTCTGTCGTGGTGTGGGGAGCGCTCATGGAGTGGTTAGCGTGCTTACCTACGATCCCAGCTAGACGAGTTCTATTCCCGCTCACGGCCAACACCAGCGACGATGATCCCAACCGGCATTGGGCCTCCCCTAGGTCGACTCAGCCTCAAGTGAGTACCCGGTGATGTCGGGCGTGGTGCTGTCCTTCGTAGGTGCCCGCTTACAGCACTTGCCCCGACAGCCTGCTAACGGCTATGCGGGGGATCATTGTTTCCTTCTGTCGCGTCCGCAGAGTACGAGGAGGATGTCATCACCAGGGGAAAGACGGCCGAGATCGAGGTGGTGTACGAGCGACAGGGCGACGACTTCACCATGCGCCTCTTCGTGAACGGCAAGGAGACGGTGAACTGCTTCACGCTGGGCAAGGAGGCGGAACTCACGGGGCCCCTCGGCACCAAGGTCAAGGTGAGGCACCAAGGTCAGGGTGAGCCGCGGGACCGCCTCGGGGCTCCCTCCGCGGCTACCCGGGGGCTCGGGGGTCATCGGCCGCACCGCCGACTCCGAGGAGGGCTTCTGCCGGCGCAGTGTCGACGGTTGGTGGCCCCAACTCGCTCGCTCACGACTCGCAGACGTTAGATGCGCGATTTAGCGCGTGGATTTTCATTCTGTTAGGATCATTCCAGGTCTAGGAGTTAAACTTTTACGGTTGATTCCGGCTCAAATCCTGCGCATGGCATCAATACGTTCAGACGCTCAATGCCGATGCCGAGGTCGGCTCGCCATGTACGCACTGTATGTTGAACTTCTTCCACACCGTACGTAGCCACCCGTGCTAATCGGAGGTGCGGGGGAAGGACAGCAAACTAAACACAAAAAGCAGTTCTCAACAAATTAGTTTTCAATCTAGATGAGTGAGCGCATAGCTCCAGTGGCTTACGGATATCGGAAAGAAGAGCGTTCCAGACGGCTACAGAAGCGCACCTAAAAGTGCAGCTCGATGCAGGGACTTGCTTCGCTTTCCTCCACTCTGCACTCCTCTCTGCGTCTGTGTTGTGTTGTGGTTGTAACTTCCTGATCCGCCCCGTCTGGACACCTGCGAAAAAGAGCTTCATAGCTCATCGGATTCTTCCGGTCTAAACACATCGCTTCCACCTTCCCAGTCAATCGCTTTGATTGACGTCGTCTCGATATCCGTCGTTGTCACACTTTTTAGGAACGCATCCCCGACGTAAACCGGGGTGTTACAACAACCACAACTCAATATTATTGTTGTTGTTATTATTATTATTGCGCGTTACGTTGTTGTTGTTATTATTATTGTGAGTGGCGTTTGGTCACATAATCGATTAAGTGCATGGCCGATCGGTCCCAGTACCAACGAAACCCTCACCTCTCTTTGCCCCCAGAGTGTCGCTGATGAAACTAAAATGCAACTATTTTTTTACACGTTAAACTATGTAACCAGGTGTAAGGCCCAACTGAGCTACGTAGCTCAGAAGCGACCTGGCCACAAATAACCGCTCGACGAAGTTGGCTTATCACGTGGAGATTTACTGCGGCCAAATAATCTAAACGCCGTGCTGTTGATTCTAAATGTGGGTTTTTTCGGGAAAGTCACGTAGATAGAAAACAATTTTTTTAAATAAATAAATAAAAATCTCTCCGCCTGATGGAAGACCGCTTGTGTTGCGATCGAAACGTCAGTGGGTTTTTTGCTTTAATTATTTTCAATTTATTATATATATAAAAATATTACGTTTTATTATTTTATTTTTATTTTCTATCTACGTGACTTTACCGAAAGAACCAAGAATATGAATTCCTGCAGTCACGAAAGTTCTTAGTAAAAAAAAATATTTGACCATGTAAGGTCCACTGAGCTATGTAGCTCTGTTTCACAAGTGGCCTGGCCACACATGAGAGCTGAACGCAGCGGCTTATCGCGTGGAAATTGAAAGCGGCCAAATACTCCAAACGCATGATTCTAAATGTGGAGGGAAAACCCGGAGGACCCGGAGAGAAATCCACGCAACCACGGAGAGAGTGGCCACGCAAACTCCAAATACACAGCAGCAGCAGCAGGCACCGCGAGCTCCTGTACACCAAGCGAGGACGTTGACACCTCCCTCTTCGCCTTAGCGGCGCCTCTGCACTGCAGCCGTAGAAGGGAACGCTCTGTCTGCCCCCCCCCCCTGCACACAGAGCACCACGGTGCTGGAGGGGGGCAAGTTGGTGTCCAAGCTGGAGAAGATCTCTCACGTGCAGGAGCTGGTGGGCGACGAGCTCGTGGAGGTGCGTTGTTGACAAACAAAGACAACGACCCCCCCCCCCTCCCTGTTGACAAACAAAGACAATGACCCCCCCCCTCCCTGTTGTTGACAAACAAAGACAATGACCCCCCCCCTATAGCGTTGTTGACAAACAAAGACAACGACCCCCCCCCTCCCTGTTGACAAACAAAGACAATGACCCCCCCCCCTCCCTGTTGTTGACAAACAAAGACAATGACCCCCCCCCCTATAGCGTTGTTGACAAACAAAGACAACGACCCCCCCCCTCCCTGTTGACAAACAAAGACAATGACCCCCCCCCCCTCCCTGTTGTTGACAAACAATGACCCCCCCCTATAACGTTGTTGACAAACAAAGACAACGACCCCCCCCCCCTCCCTGTTGACAAACAAAGACAATGACCCCCCCCTCCCTGTTGTTGACAAACAAAGACAATGACCCCCCCCTATAGCGTTGTTGACAAACAAAGACAACGACCCCCCCCTCTCTGTTGACAAACAAAGACAATGACCCCCCCCCCTCCCTGTTGTTGACAAACAAAGACAACGACCCCCCCCCCCCCTCCCTGTTGACAAACAAAGACAATGGCCCCCCCCCTCCCTGTTGTTGACAAACAAAGACAATGACCCCCCCCCCCTGTTGTTGACAAACAAAGACAACGACCCCCCCCTATAACGTTGTTGACAAACAAAGACAAAGATCCCCCCTGTTGTTGACAAACAAAGACAAAGACACCCCCTGTTGTTGACAAACAAAGACACCCCTATAGCATTGACAAACAAAGACACCCCCCTATAGCGTTGTTGACAAACAAAGACAAAGACACCCCCTGTTGTTGACAAACAAAGACCCCCCCCCTATAGCATTGACAAACAAAGACCCCCCACCCCATATCGTTGTTGACAAACAAAGACAAAGAACCCTCCCCAGTATATTATTGTTGACAAACAAAGACCACCGGTATATCCTCAACAGACTGACGGAGTGCGATGTGTAAACATCGCCACGAGTGAGACAAAGGCGGCCGGGCGTGGTGCTGGCCACCCCCAACGCGTGCCACAAGCGCCACTCGCTCACAGCACTTGCACCCAACAGTCAAAGGCCACCCGGGGGATCTTTGTCTTTAGTGTGCGCGTGTTCTCTCTCTCTCTCACAGACCTTGGGAATCGGGACCGTGGTGATGGTCAGGAAATTCAAGCGCGTGGCGTAAACCCCTCCACGTGGACGTGAGCAGCGGCAGCAACAACAGCAGCAGCGGCAACAACAACAACAGCAGCAGCAACAACAACAACAGCAGCAACAACAGCAGCAGCAGCAGCAACAGCAGCAACAACAACATCAGCAACAGCAGCAGCAACAGCAGCAGCAACAACAGCAGCAGCAACAACAGCAGCAGCAGCAGCAACAACAACAGCAGCAGCAGCAACAACAACAGCAGCAGCAACAGCAGCGGCAGCAGCAACAACAGCAGCAGCAACAACAACAGCAGCGGCAGCAACAGCAACAACAGCAGCGGCAACAACAGCAGCAACAGCAGCAACTGGGTTGCTGTCTCCCCGCGGTGATGGTGGTGGCCGCCCGTTGCATCAAACAACCAAGCCCGGCTTTAGCCGGGGAAATAAATAACAGCAACCGTGGAATGTCGTGCGTCTCCGTGTCTCCGTATCTTCTTCTCGGGCTCTCTCACCTGTCCACACTCACCTGTCCACACTCACCTGTCCAGACTCATCTGTCCACACTCACCTGTCCACACTCACCTGCCCACACTCAGCTGTCCAGACTCACCTGTCCAGACTCACCTGTCCACACTCACCTGTCCACACTCACCTGTCCACACTCACCTGTCCACACTCACCTGCCCACACTCAGCTGTCCAGACTCACCTGTCCAGACTCACCTGTCCAGACTCACCTGTCCACACTCACCTGTCCACACTCACCTGTCTACACTCACCTGCCCACACTCACCTATCCACATTCACCTGTCCACACTCACCTGTCCAGCAGGACGGGCGGGCAGGGGGGGTATTTACAACAACAACATTTAAATGATATAAAGTCAAAGTCATGCCTTACTCCAACACAAATCGCGGCTGCCTTAATCGCGTTTCGTGTCGAGCCCAGCGAGACCGCCGCAAGCTGCTGGGCTAAGTGATTTTAAACGAGGATTCAATGCCATTGTCTGAGGTTCGGCCCGCCGGTTCGCCGTTGCCAAGGGCGACGGGGTACACACACAGAGAGAGAGTCCCTGGGATTTCGGGGTCAAGCTCTTCGCTTTGGCTGCGCCTAATCGCGGCTTTACTCGAGCAAAGTTGCACGGCCGACCTCCACCCGCATCCTCTCCCTCTGCCGGGAGGGGGTGGAGAATTTGTTTCGGGCGATGCCTGAAGGGGGCCGGCAGACAGCAGCGACGGGACTCGCGCTCCTCCACAGCTCGGCCGAGACTCACGCGAGGCGACAAACTCCGTCACGTGCAACCCCAGCACGCACACAAGACAAAGGTCCCCCATGTAGTCTCAACAGACTGTTGGGGCAAGTACTGGTAGCGAGCACCTAAACAGGCCGGAACGGCACACGAGGGGGTGGGTGGCCAGCACCACGCACGGCCGCCTTTGTCTCCCCAGTGGCAATGTTTACACACCGCACCAGGTATTCATTTGAGGCTGAGTCGACCTAGGGGAGGCCCGGGACTGGTTCAGACAATCGTCACTGGTGTTGGCCGTGAGCGGGAATCGAACCCGGGTCTTCAGGTTCATAGCGCAGCGCGCTAACCACTACACACACACACACACTGTGACACACACCCTGTGACACACTGTGACACACTGTGACACACACACACACTGTGACACACTGTGACACACACACTGTGACACACACACTGTGACACACCGTGACACACACACTGTGACACACACACACTGTGACACACATACTGTGACACACACTGTGACACACACACTGTGACACACACTGTGACACACACACTGTGACACACACTGTGACACACACACTGTGACACACACACACTGTGAGACACACTGTGACACACACTGTGACACACACACTGTGACACACACACTGTGACACACACACACTGTGACACACTGTGACACACACTGTGACACGCTGTGACACACACTGTGACACACACTGTGACACACTGTGACACAACAACAACAACCGCCATTCGCCACTAAGTGGCGGTGACGTCACCACGACGCTTGTGCCAGGCTATGTGCACCGTGAGGCCACGTGAAGTGTCGAACGCCCGCTGGCAGGAGGTCACTGGGCAGACCCAGGTGCCACGGATCGACTGACTGAGATGACTGGCTGATGCACCACCTGTGCCCCCTACTGTGCCAACCTGCTGTGCTTTAGCCACCCGGCGTTCCGCTCGTTGTTGTGAGCGTCGCTCCTCCGCCCTCCGTTGTTGTTGGAGGGCGACTGCCTCCAACTGCCCAGTAGCATCCTTCACGAGCCTCCTCCACAGAGGCCGTTCTTGACACCGCTGGTACCAGTCATCGGCAAGTCCACTCAGCTCCACGTCCTCCTGTACCACATCACTCCATCTCTTCTCTAGCCCGTGCCGCGCCCGCTTAGCCCCCTCAATCCGGCCAAACAAAAGCTGTTTCGGCATGCGGTGGCTGGGCATGCGGGCTACATGACCCAGCCATCGCAGCCTTGCCTGCCGGAGGAGCTCACCGATGGGATCCTGCCCAGATCTTTCAAGGATTTGTGAGCTCCTCACACAATCCAGTCTGGTTAAACCCAGGATGGATCGTAGGCAGGCCAGCCTAAATGTTTCTAACCGGCGAAGATGTTCCACCAGGGGGGTCCACGTTTCGCAAGCGTAGAGAAGGGAGGGAATGACCGTGGCCGAGAAGACCTGAAGCTTAGTGCGGAGCGACAGACCAGGTAGCTTCCACACAGCGTTACGCAACCGATGAAAAGATATTGCCGCTCGACTGATTCGGAGTGAGACCTCTGCTGTTAAACTGGAGCCAGTCATAAGCACACTGCCCAGGTATGGGAAACTCTCCACTCTCTCCACAACTGCCCCATCACCGATTGGGAGTTGTGGGGGTGGAGTGTCCGATGGTACAAAATACCCAGGCAGGTGCTTAGTTTTGGTGGGGCTGATGGTAAGGCCCCACCTCTTAGTGGCACGCTCCAGTCTCAGCAGCAGCGTCTCCAACTCCTCCTCTGACTGAGCAGCTATTACCAAATCATCAGCATACATAACGTGGTTGAGCAATAGGGAGCCATCCCTTGACCGCACCCGGGCATCGATTAGCCTCCCATTATATCTGTACCATATGGAGATTCCCCCGGTACAGCTATTGAAGGCTTCACGAACTACGTGGTCAAATTAGATGTTAAATAATGTGGGAGCCAGAGGACATCCCTGTCGCACCCCAAGGTGTACAGGGAATGGCTCTGACTCCCGGCCACGTAGTTTTACCCGGGCCCGCTCACCATCATGAAGGTCCTTAATGATCGTGATCGAAGGGTCAGGTACTCCAAAAGCACGAAGAACGACCCAGAGCCCAGGCCTACTGATGGTATCATAGGCCTTGACCAGGTCAATAAAGCAGAGATGTAGGTCTTGTTGGAATTCCCTACACCTCTGCTGTAGCAGACGGACAGAAAATATGGCATCTGTGCAGGACCGCCCTTTCCTGAAACCGCATTGGGGCTCCGCAAGCCTCTCCTCAGCGTGCCTGGCAAGGCGATGCTGAATAATCCTTGCCAGGACCTTTCCCGGCACACTGAGGAGTGAGATGCCCCTGTAGTTGTTACAGTCTGTGCGGTCCCCCTTCTTAAAAAGGGGGACCACCAGGGCATCCTTCCAATCGTGCGGAACCCGTCCAGTGGTCCAGACTGTTGTTATGATGTCATATAGGGCAGTCTGTGCACAAACGCCACCCTCCCTCAGCATTTAGCTTGGGAGATCATCTCTGCCTGCTGCCTTTCCTGGTCTCAGACTCCGGATCGCCTTCAATACTTCCTCAGCAGATGGCACCTCAGCCAGCCACTCACAGGGGGTGACTTCTTCCAATATTTGAGGCACCGCAGCCTCAGCAGGGTCATCCTCACCTTGTGCCACGTTGTTTTCCTGGCTGTGGGATTTTCCCTCCCCCAGGACCTCACAGAAATGCTCAGCAAATCTGCGAACCTCTTCCTGGGGGTCGGAGATTGGATCACCGTTTTTCCCCCTAATGATGGTAATAGGTGTGGCGCTGCAGGTTACTTTTTTGATGGAGTTAAATAGAGATTTGTGATCACGGGCCACTGAGGCAGACTCCATCTCCTCAGCAACCCGCGACCACCACCCATCCTTGCAGCGCCTCACGGCTCTCCGAACCTCCGAGCGAAGGCTGCGGTAAGCCTCCTCATTCTCTGACGTGGGATTCTGTAGCCGATGACAGTGGGCCTGTCGCTTTTTCTCAACCATCCTGAACACCTCCTCTGTCAGCCAGGGTCTCTGGGGAGGTCTGGACCGCGTACCCAAAGCAGCCATTGCAGCTGCATGAGTCACAGTCCTAAACCTCGCCCATTTACCCTCGACATCAGGAGGAGTCAGGGACGATGCCAATCCCAGCCGCAAGCGATGATGAAATTCTCGCTTGCAACTTTCATCAGATAATTGAGACCAGGCCACTTTATGTTGGAATGGGGTCCTGGGTGTACACCCACCACCGGAGTGGAAGAATGGCAGGCGCATCTTACAGATGACTAGTCGATGGTCAGAGGGCAGATCAGCTCCACGATAGGTCCTGGTGTCAAGGACATGGGCTCGCATTCGCTGGTCCGTCACTATGTAGTCCAGCAGATATTCTTGCTTGGACCCGGCATGCATCCATGATGTTGTGTGGATGCTCCGATGCCGGAACAGCGTGTTGGTAATTACAAGCCCATGGGCTGCACAAAAATCTAGCAGCCTCCTACCGTTGTTATTGAGCTGATCTGGCCCATGCCCTCCAATCACTCCAGACCAGGTGCCAGTATCATGACCAACTCGGGCATTGAAGTCACCCAACATGATGACTCTATCCCGAGGGGCCACTTTAGCCAGCACCTGTGACAGGAGGTCATAGAAGGCATCTGACTCATCGGCTTTGCCTGCATCCCTCCACGGATGTTCATCTTCGGTGGGGGCATAAGTAACCACGACCACCATTCCTCGCCTCCAGTTGATGGGAAGGCGAGCCCAAAGTAGCCTGGGGCTTACAGCTTCCCACACCTCACCGCCACGCTCCCACGCCCCCTTCATTATTTTGTTCAAAAGAAGACCCACACCCTGTTGTTTGGCAGTCTGCTGCCCCGAGTAGAG